GCTTCTCATTGACTACTTTGTGAAAACCTCCTGAAGTAGGATAATGTAATTTTAAACAGACATAGTTTTTACTGGGGGGACAGATTGGACTTTGAGTTAACCTTTGGTTTTCCTATTCTCTTTCTAAATGTGTGGAAAAAAAAAATGAGTGACCTTGTAATATTTCTCATCTTTCCTAAGCTTGGGGCCATTGGGTGTTTTTGCCACTTTTCTTTCAAATTTAGAATTCTGTAAGAGGGTTTGTCTGTAACAAGCAATGTCTTATTTAAATGAAACTAATAAAGCAATGAAGAAGCTTCTATTGCAACTGTTCATCTCCTAATTAAAGATTAGTTCTGTCAAGCAAGCAGTTTTTGGCTGTTCTCTTTTGTATGGGTTTCACAATATTTCTTACTCATCTCAGCACAAGTTGTAGTAATTTATATTTGCATCGTGCAAATACACACAAGCTTAATTTCAGGCATGTGAGTAGTTCTGCTGAAGTAAATGGAACTGAAGTTAGGCACATGAATAAATATTTCCAAGGTTGCAGCCCTTGTCTGAATCTAAATATTTTTGTCTTTGATCAGTTTTTGAGATAGCAGATTCTTGAATTCTGGTAATATTTTAGTATGGGAGGATAAAAACCCCAACATGGTTATCTAAATGCTGTGCTATTTTTGGTCAGATATATTTTCAACCTCCCAGGCTAGAATGGAACGCTTTGTACTGTTGGAAGCTGGGAATCCTTTCTCTCTCTGGTGTGTTTTGACACATTAGGTCTTAAAACTATCTTTTTCTGTCTTAGCTTCAAGGTAGTTGTTAGGCACTGGTCCAGTACTAAATGGTGCATGCATGTGTGAGCTAATTTGGAGAAGTATAATTTTTAATCCGCAGTGTTACTAGTTGTAGGTGTGTTTTTCTTGCTTGGCTTTATGGTAAATAGATTTTCCTAATGCGGCATGACTAACAAGGCACACTTTTAGTAATTTGATGCATTTAAATTACTTAAATTATTTGACCCAGTATTTTAAAAACAAAATGTGACTTGGCTTTTAATTGTTCCTGGTATTTGGGAGAGTGGTACAACTTGTTTGAAAATGTGCTGATGTTCATCAGTTATCATATAAAATGTCTACAGGGTTTTATCATGTAGCCTAAACTTGCCAACTAGATTTGGAAGTAAGTCTCCAGCTGTTAACCCCACCCTGCTGTGCCTCCAGCTTGCATGGTGTTTACAGTAGTAGGTGAAATACGTTCTATATGTTATATATAGTGCTGGATGCTATAACACAGTGAGAGGAGTTTCAGTACTGCTTTCAAACAATACTAATGCAAAGTGAAGGTAAGTTACACTGAAATACAAATAGTTGTTGGATAAACTCGTGGGAGCGTTTCTGTATTCTTTGATTATACTCCATTGATCCACTTGTGTACTACAGCAGAAAGCAGCATATAAGTGACGTTTTTCAGTTGCCAAACACTACATCTTCATCAAATCAAAAAGTGCTAGGTGCTATTCAGGTAGGAAACTGGGAGGATGAGCTTCTGTACTGAGTGCTCCCCACAGTCTGGCTAGCCAAGGACGTTAAAGCACAGCTGTAGTCTTAGCTCAGCTGACTCTTCCATCTCTGATTTATGGGATTTCATAACTCAGTGGCCTGGAACAATTTCAGGTCTGGGAGGGGAGTTTTTCGGGGGGAGGGGCTGGAGAGCTTCACCTCCAGCCTAGCTGGACAAAGCCCCTTGCTACTCCAGTGATTTTATGGGCTACCTCTGAAGGAAAGCGAGGGGCGGAGAGGGCCTGGGGCTCCCTCAGCCTCACCGCCCCCAGTCGAATGTGTGCCCCAGAGGCTTTGCTGTGCCGGTGACCTGCTGCCTGCCCCGCTTCCCCGCCACGTCCCTCCCTCCCTCCCTCCTCATTTTGGAGAAGAAAGAAACGCAGGAAGCTGGCGGGTGGCCAAGGGGCTCCGGAGCTTCCGGGAGCTGCTCCCGGCGTACTGCGCAGCCGGAGCCCGAGGGGAGTGAGCGCTGCCCTCCTGCCCTCCGGGCCTGGGCTGGGGTGTCTCTTCCCAGGGGCATCAGCATCACTGTGGTGGGGACGCTTCGGAGCTAGCTGGCGCCTTGCAAGTCCTGACCGTTTGTACCAAAGGCCCGTGCCTACAACTATGAGCGCAGTTATGGCCTCTGACTAGGAGGAAGCTGTGGGATTTTGGCCCTCACTCGTCAGGATTTCTGTGCTCACTGTTAACGTCAAAGCACAGAAACAATTCATGATCGTTTCAGTGCCGTTTTATGTACAAAAAACTTCTGGGTTCTCTTTCTAAATAATTAATATCAGTGGTCTACATATAAGAAGTAGAAAGGTTTTATACGACTTTCTAAGCTTCTAAAATAGAACATTTTCACTTCATCCTTGAACAGATAATAAATATCTCTGAACCATCCAGAACAGTACAATGGTCAACTACCTTTATTTTGTTCACATACGATTTATTTTGCCGCAGGAGCATAAGCCTGGAGTTCTGGGTGCCTGATAAGAAACACTATGGGCTAAAGGTTTTAACTTAAATTCTTTGCTAAATTGTAGTGTTAGGATTTCTTATGCAGCTCAAAGTTCAAGTGCATTACATGAAAAATGTGGTATAATTCATTTTAAGGTTCTTTTCCTGCCTTTGGAGAGAAGATAGATTGTCTTTCCCTGGATTCCTTTGTCATCTTTTCTGCTTTTCAATGAAACACTTGATTAGTACTGCATCTGTTTACCATACAGTGTTCAGACAGGGTTAGGCTGGCCTGAGATGACTCCTGTTTGCTTTGTTTTGGGATGCAGGATGTCTGTCTTGCACAAAATAGTTCTTTACTGGCCAGAACTTCTAAATGGAAGGACTGAATGCTGAAGAGATCTGGCTTTGCAGGTAGAGCAGAATGAGGAGAGACTTGATTAGCTACCCGTTTCTCATTTGCATCAGAGCACGTTTCCCAGACTTCTGAGATGAAAATAGTGCTTTTTGGGGGGAGGAGGAAAGAGGACTACCACTTCTCGTGGAGTCAGTATGCAACCTTTTTTCTTCAATTAATTAACTTCTGTGCTGCTTTGCCCATAGATTCCTAAGGCTTATGCAATCAAAGGCCCTATCTATCCCCTTAATTTTGAAGCCGTTGTTGTATTTCAACTAAATTTGATCCTGTTAGCTAAAAGATGGCAAGTGTATTGATGTGTAGAATTATTTTCAGTAATAGACAGACAGTATTTTAATTTCATTTGCCTAATGTGTCATCAGATGTTCGTTTCAGAGTTGCCATATCAGTGCATGCTTATGTGGGGGATTGGCATGCGTGAGCTGGCCAGAATTTTGGGTGTATACACATTTAATGGAATACCTATTATTCAAAGAGAGGGATTAAGTTGAGTGCTTCTGCTGTCTATCCAGTTATGTTTTTCAGGTAATGGGGAGAGAGTTACTGTAGCTTTAAAATGGTGCTATTTCTGGCTGGGCCACTCTATCTATAGTTATTGATGAAAAGAGAATAGGTGAATAGGTGACAAGGTGTCTTTCCTTTGTTTTTCAAAGGAACCTAAAACATAAGGTGTGCATTTTGGGCAGTCTTCTTGGTGGTGCTTAAGGAATCTTTGTTGTAATGCTCTGAAATGTTTTCGGAGAATGGTTTGGTTCTGCACAGTGGACCACTTTGTTTGGACAGGGCTAACACTCGGCTCGGTTGAGTCTGAGTTTGGAGGTGGTGCCATTGGGACTATCCTGCACTGGCATTGCCTTTTTCTAATGCAGACTTATCATGGGACTATGGATCTTTACCAAGTAGGTCTGCTTAAACTAGGGGTAAAAAGGAAGAAAAAGCAAACCAAAACCAACAACAACAAAACCAAAACAATAAACCGAAAGGTTGAGTCATTTAATGCCCCGTCAACTTTCATGATATTATATTTCTTTTTACTAGAATCTCTTCTGTCTCCCCCTAGCCCTCACCCTATTACTTCTTAGAAAGCCTGTATAAATAGAAAAAACTGAATGCAATGAGGATGACTATTAGGTTGACAAGGGGAAATTATCAGCTATTATAATTGTAGAAGTGTCTTAAATGATCTATTCTCTTCTTATATGTACACACACAGCTCTAAACATTTAAATTTCTTTCTAGCCAAAAGACCTAAAAACATGTAACAAGTAAGAATTGAGCTAAACTCCTAAAAAGTTCTGAGAAAGAACTAGTTCTGCCTTATGAAAGTATAAGTTGGTGCCTTTAGCTGGATGGCATACACCTTATTCTGTCATTTTGCTGTGGTAATTCAAGGAAAAAAAATCTGGTTTCGTAAGTCCCACATCTTTTCCTTACTGAAAAAATGCGTATACACTTCTTCCCTTTAACTGTGGATTTGTGCTTATGTTACCTATATGTCCCAGAAATATTTAGAATAGTTAGTATAATTTCAACTTTATTTCACTCTGTTGTGCGTGTCTCAAAGATGGCCAGTTCATACAGTTTCATGAAAATAGGGATCTTGTTAGTAGGAGGTGTCGGCATGAGCTCCTGTATTACTACATAGGAGAGATAACCAGAATGTCTCAGCTCTTGGAGAATTTTCAGTTAGAGTTCGGACCTTCATTAGGTACCAGGTACTCAGTCCATGAGCAGGACAAAAAATTAAGCTACGTTAATTTTTAGTGTATGGAACTAGTTAGTTATGAAAAAAAGGTGATCCATGAGATGCTATACTGTACTAAGAAAGAAATTCCTACTAGATGCTGGATTTGAGAGCACAGATTTTGCCTCTGTTCTTAGTTCTCTTTGAAGCCTTAAGCATATTGACAATATCTCTTTACCTAGTTGAATCAGCTGTAAATTGACTTAATAATTGTCTGAAGTAGAAGAAAAAAAAGACTTTTGTGAAGGTGTTACAGAAGTGTAAAATAACTGTTTTTAAGCATTAGTATTGATATCAAACATAATATTGAGAAACAAAAATTGTTCATTAAACTTATGTTCTTTCTTTTTTTCAGGTTTCCTCTCAAAAAACCTACAAGGTGAGTTACTGAAATTTGACTGTTTGTATTGCAACTTATGGTACAGTATTTTTGAAGGAGGAATGCTTTTAAAAGGAAAAATGTACAAACACAGATAGCAGTACCCATTACAGATGTGAGGAAATTCATATCCAGATTGGGACAGAGTGCCAAAAATATAGTTGGTGGTGTAATTGAAGTGCATGGCATAATGTTACCATTTGCATTTCTGTTAAGTACGTTGGCGGGTTACCTTACCTGAGATTTGAGATGGTTGGAGAAAATAACACTATGTTTGTGTATGATGTACAGACACTTCCTTTGGTGGGTGGATATTCTAAATCTTTAATTTTTGCATACAAAGATATTTAAGGTTTTTTGGGAGAGGAGGTAGAGTTAAGACTTCAGGAATTCTTTCAGTTTTCTGTAACTTAAATTTATTTTGCTTGGTTTTGAATGATAAAGAGAACGCACTTGCTGTTACTAATTTGAAAGGTTAACGAAACTGCTTCTAGAACCTTGGATACACTCCCAAAGCTTCTTAGGGAGATCATTTTTCCGCTTGAATTCAGTCTGGGAATAAATTTTTTAGGTGAACTTAATGCACACGTTTTAATTTGAATTCCTTGTTAGCAAACAGAGCTAGCTAAGGTTATTTCCGAAGGCCTCGCCAGTTAGGCGATGCTTCTGTGGTGCGGTAGTCAGGATCCTCTGCTTTGGTTTGACACAGACACGGCAGCATTCTGAGCAGAGAGTCTCCAGCTGACAAGAAACAGAAGGTTGAACGCTGCAGTAGTACGCACGACTTTGATCCGACAGGTAAAGTCCTAAAACTTCACAGGTGAAAAACTAGACTTCAATTTGAAAAGTATCGGGGATTGGAATAAAAATTATTTTAATGTATCAACAAATGTGGTTTTCAGAGTTGTGTTGTTCTGTGATTGCAAAGCCTTTTTGAAGCATGTGGGCACTGAAATTAATATGGGCTTGCTTTTGAACATGCTCATCTACAAAGCAGCTGTTAACTGTGCAAGAATAAACCTAGATTAGTGGTATCAGTGAATAATTATAACTACTACCTCTTTCAGAAAAGTCAGTCTGAAATTTCAGTAGGCAAATACTGTAATTAGTTGTGAGTAGTTCTTTTGGCTGTTTTAGTTGAAGTGTGAAATTGGAGATGTTATAGGCTTGATTAGGGCTGGTATTTCTTGCTGTTTTTTTTTTTGTTGCTTATTTTTTGTTTTTTTGGTTTTTTTTTTTTTTTTTATTTGTTTGGTTGTCTTTTTTGAGCCTTAGTGGATTTTGATCTATCTCTGTCACTTGTAAAGTGAACTTGTACTTTCCAACATGATATATTTTAAGATAAGTGTATATTTTTAAAGGATATGCTATCCTATTTTTTTTAACCTTCCAAAAGGTTAAGTTAGGGTCAATTTGGAAAGCCTGTCCAGTGCTGTCTTGGAAATTAGGATGCATGCAGGGATTCTTCATTCTCTCTCTGAAACACTAACCCAGTAACTACTATGTATGTTGATGAAATGCATGACAGGCTCTTGTCTGAGCCTCCTGGCCCCATGCAATGTATGTTTTTCATGTCTGTGCATTCTGCTGTTTAGTCCAGTCTTTTCCCTGGGGCTTGTGGAAGTCATGAGAGTTGAATGTAAAGGTGGTAGAACTTGCAGATTATGTTTTTTGCACAAGACATTTGAAGCTGGTGTTTATGAACCGTCCTGTTTGTTAATGCTTTCTGCCCCTAGCTGCACGACTGCTTCCTAGTGTGCACAAAATAAATGAAAATGGGCTTTTAACGTTGGCTTAAAAAAAAAAATAAAATAAAAAAAAAATCCCGTAAGGGAGAAAACCTGAATTAGTGCTTGTCATCTTTACCTATTCCCAAGGACAAAAGAAATGTAAAATTATTTCAGGTTGGAGTAGGTTATGGGAGGTCTTGGGCTATAAACCTGTTTTGTTGAAGGAATTTGTTTTCCTCAGAAGCAAATTCAGGAATCCTTTAATCTTAATTTGATGAAAACAATTCCAATTTTGAGAGCTGTTACCTGGCACCACTGTTAAAATGCTTGTGATCTGGTCTGACAGATAAAGTCTGTACTGTAGCCTTCAAAAAACTGTTTTCTTTTTAAGGGGTGAATTCAGAATGCTGAACTATTATGTGTATGTCAGTTACTTGCTCTGGAGATAAATGTTACCAGAGTTTCTATGCTTGGACTGTTTTTTATTCAGAATATGTTCTGTAGTCTGCAGAGAACTTCTTTTATTGTGTCTTAGATTCTGTAATAGATTCTTTGTGGTGTTACCTGTGTCTTCATGCTCATATTATTCACCCCTTATTCCAAGTTTTTCACCTGTGTTTTGTTCACATCTTATTTGTGTTTTGCACGATTTAACCTAATAAATCAGTCTGTTTTTTTCATAAAGTTTTTTTTCTCATGTTTGGTCTCCATATTTTCTATATCTCTCTCTCCTTTTCTCCTGCTCTCGTGCAGATAGCTCCTCCAAGAAGACAAAGTCTAGTTCGGAGGAGAGTAGATCCGAGACGTATGGTAAGATAAAGCAGCTGCTGCAGCCTTGCAATTTTGCAGTCTGCTTCATGCTTTCTGTCTATGCATCCAAGGCTTTTATCCTTTACATGATCCGCATGGTTGGCTCTGCAGCAGGGAGTGGGAAACTCAGTTCGAATGTTGCTTCAGTGTATCAGCTTGTAGTTTTTGTAGTGGCTGGAAACTAACCCATACCTGGCAAGTGTAGTCTGGCACCTGGATTCTCCTGTTATTTACTGATAGTTGGGAAAACCTGCTAGGACTGCCCTTCTTGGGGATCTTGTGCCACTGGGTATGTTTGCGATTGTATAAAGACACAGCTCGTGGTGAACTGCAGAGGAGTTTTGTGGTTGAGAAAAGTCTGTGTTGTGTTCTAACTTTGGAGGTTAATCTAGATGAGCCAGCAAGTAATCATTTTGCATTATTTGTAGAGGATCTCATGTCAGTTCATTTTCATGTTTCACAGAAGTGGGAAATATATTTGTAAATAATTAAAAAAAAATATAAGAATATGAACTTCACCATTCTTTGTTCTGAGGAGGTAGTAAATACCCTGGCAGTCCTATATTGTTGTGTATTACTACTGTGTTGTGGGCTTGCAGGCTGGAACAAATTGGCATATAACAGTTTGGGATAGGAGTACCCCCCCCCCCCCCCCCATCGTTATGCTGTCAGTACACCATGATGGGTGCTGTTGGAAAGAATATCCACCAGACACATCCTGTTTGATCATCTTCCTTCTTTAGCTTACATCAGATCCATCAGCCCTTGGGCTGTGACACTTTCTCCATCCTACCTTTATGTTAATCACTTGTTACATTTCTGATCTCTAAAGATATTTGCACTCAGAAACTAGAAGGTAATAAGTTTTCACAGGTAGGTGGGGGGTCTTTTGGATCATACCAGCTTCTTAGTACCCTTGGACCTAGGCTGAATCTGGCCAGTACTGCTACATTTCATGGTTTTAAGTGTGCATGTTCAACTCTTCTCTTGACTCCAGCTATGGGTTGCCTTTCTTTTCCTTTCCTGTTTTTGTTTTGTTTTGTTTTATATTTAAACCAGTCTGTGATACTTTCTAATTTTGATCTGTTGTGAAAATTTTGCTTGCTGCATAACCTGCTGTGGGCTTTTGGTCAGGTGCAATGACTCTTCCAGTATCAGCTCGTATCATTCCACTAGAATAAAACTGTCACATATTAATGGCTGTGATCCAACTTCTTAAACCATGCTCGTAATACAAAATGATGCTGTCATAGCTTTGATTGTAAGAAACATTAAAAAATAAATTAAAAAAAAAACCCAAACTTAACCCCAAAACCCACCAACCCTGAAGAGTTCCTTCTAAACCAATGTAGACATGTTAGCAAAAGCCCTTTAGTTGGTGCAGTTTAGGGGAGGTGTGATCCATTTCGTCTGTGAAAATGAAATCTTAACTTTCCCTGGAATTTTGAATCACACACCTTTTTTTTTTAAAGCAAAGTAATATGACAGTCGTGTTCCTCAGGGTGTGAGTCCTCAGAAACTGTAAACAGGTTTTGAGAGTGCCTTGATTTGCTTCAGTCGAGCTAGAAACCTGTCTTAGGGAGACTTGGCTTGCTGCAGCTTGTATGTCTTTCTTCCCTGCTCCAAGAGAATGAACAGGGAAATAGCCAGCTTGAAAAGCAGGTATTTGGGGATGATGCTTCTGATGAGCTTGTGTTGAATCCTTGACCACTTCTTCCCTTTGCCAGGTAGATGCCGGTTAGTGACAGTGAAGTCAGGTTGACTAGATTCCTGTATCTTGAACCTGTATTAATTTTTGTATAATGCTGCTTACCCATAGTATACTGGAGGTGCTGTCAAACCATTGTGGGATAATTACAGGAAACATTTGGTATGCTTGATGGAATGTATCTGTGTTTATACTTCTTTCTCAGTCTGTACAGTGTCCTGGTTTTTCATTTATGGCAGAAAGAAACATGACTTCCTAATGTAAGCCTTTACTTCCCCCAAAGTTTCCTGCAGATGCTCTATCCATGTCCAGTATCCATGGGAGCAGTTTCTACTCATCCTTCCTTTCCAGTGGCCTTCGCTGTGTTGGACCTTGCCCTGCCTTTTGTCTCTGTCCTCTAATTTTTCCAGGTTATGTGGTATGTGTGGAGAAGTCTGCTGTTTGCTTTGGATGGGACCAAACTATTTAAAAACCTACAAGTAGAAACACTACTGATATTTTTCTCTCTGGTGACTGGATGTTAGCTGGCTCTTTCTTTGGCTAGCCATTGGAAAGTGAATAATAGAAGTCTTGAATGACAACAGGAAAAGGAGGTGTGGCTCTTGCCTATGGGTTTGGTTTTACCTCTTGAAATTCTTAATTAAGGAGCAAGAGACCAGAATTTCTTGAAGATATGAGTGGATTGGGCAGGGGCAGAGTGGTTAGTTAGGGAAATTGTTCTAATAAAAAGGGGGAGATTTATAGTAACATGAAACTGAGTGTGATATTCTCTTCCTTAAATCCAACCATCTCATATCTGTGTATTCAACAAAATTTAGATGATCAGGAGAGAGATTGAGCATAGTTCAGATATGCTGTAATTTACTAATTAGTGCTATATCCTCCCAGAATACTTGATACCTATTTCTTGAAGTAGAAATCTTGTCTCTGAAATTAACTTAAAATTGAAATGATCTTTCAGGGTGGTAGGTGAGATATCAGTTACACTTCCCCATGACTTGCATGCTCTCCAGAGATATCTTCCTTTTTATTTAGCAATGATCAGTTTCTGGCCCAAATATTAGACTAGACTGTATACATACTCTCTTCAACTTCGGGATAAGTTTTAAAATCTTTTTGTTTAGAAACCCCAGATTTTCTCATTGAGATTTTTTTTTTTTAAATTGAACTTACTCTTCCTGTTTTTTTTCTTGCAGTTCTTGTCAGCCTTGTGTCTTTATGTTGTGGCCACCGTTTTTCCAGACTCTTGAAAGGACTCTTGGGAGCCCCTCATCACTACCCTTATAATAGCCAGAAACGCTGCGAGTGCAAGGGGCACTTGACCACAGGGGTTGAATGTGTCGTTGCCATGGGAGCAGATAGTCCTATTTATCATGGTTAAAATACATGGCTCTCTTTTTCTATAAAGGTTACCAAGCCTTGTTTTATGAGAAGCATTCAGTGCCATTGTTAGTAACAGTTTTATCAAGACACTATACACTGCACTAATTCCAAACAATATAGTTTTTGGAATGATTTTACGTGACTTCTGTTAGCAGGTTAGTGGAAGAATCTGAAGAATGCTGATGATATGGCATTTCGTATGAGATCACGGTAATAACTAGAACTAAGTGAAATTCAGATTTTCATCCTATGAAAAATTCTCTTTATAAAAGCTGGTCATTTTATTTGTTTTGTGGAGCAGGGTTTCTGAAAATATGTTAGAGAAATAAAGCTTCCCAAATTAAGTGAAACATTTGGACATTCTCAAAACCCCAAGGAGTTTGTTTTTGTTTATTGAATGATTCATTTCAAATCACTATATTAAATTGCATTTTCCCATTGTGGCCTCATGCCTCCAGGGAGGTTATAGTTCACAAGTCTCCTCCCATGCCATGTCCCACACAGTTTGATGAGAGGAAGAGCTACATTGTATTATGGGAGATGTAATTCATGTCTTCATTCTCTCTAGAGAGTCAGGTTTTTAGAATCTACCCATGCTCTATTTGTTGTGCACTGCTATGGAAGTGAAATTTCCTATTTTATCAAATAACTTCCAAATATTTAGGATGTGTAGAAGAGAAGGTGAATGATCTCTTTACTAGAGAAGCTCTTGGACAATCAAAATGTATCTGGCAAGACCATTTGAGACAATAATTTTTACCATGGTCTGTCAGTGACCTTGAGAAGTTCGGACTCTCTCCTTCCCTATTGTCCAGAAGGCACACTTGTAGTGGGGCTGGATAACTGAGCCACCATGTCACAAAGGGAATAGTGCCACCTATTGAAGAGTTGGTTGATTTAGCTTTTCTTGCAATTCCTTTTTCCCGAGACTGGTAATTTCTAGCTGCTTTCATTTTTAATCTGAAACCTCTTTAACTACAGCACATGGTTAGCTGCTTTACTGTACTCTTGGCTTAAGGCTATACCAGTGAGTTTGGGGAATTATACATGATGATGAAAAAGGATTTTTAAGATTTATGTTTTTCTCCACAGAATTTTATGAATCCACTCCAGATAGGAGCATGTAGTCTGATTTTGTGTATTTAAATCGTAGTTACATTGATGTCTCCTCATTTCATGCCACCAAGATAATGTCATGTGAAAGCAATTGTGGGAATAAGATAATTATTGACTTGCTTTTTAGTACTATCAGTGATGAGTTCTGTTGACCTTGTAATCATTAGTAAGCTTCAGCTGGAAAAATGAAATATCATGGTAAGATATTTCAAAATTAATTACTCCATCCAGGGAATGATAAGAATCAGAACACGGAAGCAAAAAAGGTGAATGAAAAGCTGACTGCCACTTGCTAACATGGACTCTTCAGTGTTGTCTCAAACTTACAGACTTTAATTAAAGTGGATGAAGTTGGTTGAGTTAGTAATTTAATGTAAGAGTTCCTGTGTGTATTGTGATATCAAGGCGTGACAGTAACAGCTATTGAAAATTTCATGTTACATGTCATTGGGCTCTCGGTGGTTTGTGGCTTTCCTTTCAGTCCATTCCGGAGTGTCTAATGAGGTGTTCATGGTACAAGATGTGGGCTATGAAAACATTGCTGCTCTGGTCTTAAAATTCCACCACTGAGCAGATTTAAAATTGAATGTAATTTACTTAAAGAACAAAAGTGAGCAAATGACAGATTTGGGGGGTTTCTTTGCTAATTTTTTCTCACAACAGAATGAAAGACAGCACTTGAATGTTGCTCTTTTTAGTCTACCTGGTTCAGACAGGGAGTGCTATCAAAGCAACACTCTGCAAAGTTCTGCAGGTAATGGTGTTCAGCAAAATTTCAGATAACTATTAAAATCACTATAAAGCTGCTGTGTATCCCCATCGAGCACAGTATCTCTGAGCTGGCTTATGTAGACCTCTTTCCAGACTTTTATATTGTGTCAGAAGGGTCAAAGTGCCTGCTTCTTGTTGGAAGGGAACTAATAAAGGGAAAAAGCAATTATGGACTACTTTGGGTTCAAGTTGTCCTAATTTCAATTGCTTCCCCATTCAAAAATTAAAAGGTGATCTTGGGTGGAATTGAGACTTGTGGTGTGAAACAGTTCAACTTGATTATTCTTAGAACTTAAATTATACCCTGTAAGGTTGGTTTCTGTTGCATCTCCCACTGCATTGCCTCTGCTTTGGCATCTGGTTCATTGAAAGAGGAAGCTTATCAGTAGATCCAAGGGCTATTGGTTCTGAAAAAGGAAGAAATTCAGTGGAAGAGCGAGCATGCAGGGCTATACTGTGCCTTTAAACAAGGACAGTTCTTATGAGTCAAAAGATTAGTTAGTGTCTTACTCATAAAACCTGTACATCTGGCAGCAGGGTTTAAAATGAGCAGTTTTTATGAAATAGCATGTGTTCTCTTTCCCACACCCCACCCTGGGGCATCATTCTTGTGAAGTGAGACTTAAAGAAGCTTGGCCATATAGAAAAATGGGAGGTACAAAGGGGAGAGAGGCATGTTCTTTCACTTAACCATATAAAGAGGATGCGAAAGGTGATGGGTTTTCATCTCTTGTCTGCTTTCACCTTGCATCCATTCCATCAACTTACTACAGATTGCTGTATATAGCATAATTTGCTTCTACTTTATCAGCAGAAGAAGAGTTACCAGGATATAATACTGTGACCAACCTCCTGCAGAAGTGCTGGAATGCAATCTTTTCCACGACTCCCACACCCATTTTCATATATGCTATGATCAAGGAAAACAGGGCTGACTGGGCAGACAGTATTTTCATTTGAGGCTCCTCATTTCCATTAGGAGTTGCTCGAGAGAAGTGAAAGGAGCTGTAGTGGTGCGAGAGTAATTTACGATGTGGGTATGACTCTATACTCTGTTACAATTAAAAATGATTTCAGAAAAGACAGTCTTGCTGGGACAGCATCTTCACAATTCCCTTTACTCCCTCCATACTAGATGAAACGGCTACAATTTTGGTATGGCATTGTGGAGAACTCCAATTCTTTCTCAAGATGCTGGCATAAGAATTTTATCTGACGGGGCTTCAGAAATTAAGAAGCAAAGCAAGATGCTAGAAATAAGGGTGTTGTTTAGTGGGTAGCAGTTTCTGCTGTGTAAATAAAACAATGAAATGTTTTGCAGAGTTCCTAAAGTCATTTTTTCAAGATAAGGGCTCCATTGTGGTAGGATTTTTACAGATGTTCCTAGGAACGTGCTCTGCAATGGATATGCCAGGACTCTTGCTTTGTTTTGAATTTCCCTTATTTATTTTTCAGGTGAACAGACATACGCAACATTTCACCTTTTCAAAATGCTGCATATACTAAGTACATTTATCTCTGCAACAGTATTTATGTTCACATTATACTGAGTAATCCTAGCACTGGGAAACAAAACAAGTTGCCTTTGATCTCACACAAGTTAAAGGAGGAGCAGATTCAAACTCACATCTCCTGGGATTCTGGCCCTGTACTTCAGTAGCTCAGTGAGAAGCATGCTCTTGATTTCAGAAGTCTTGTTCAGTGTAGTAAGCGTGGCTTGTACTACTTTACTGCTGCTGTTCTGGTTCTGTGTGAGACTCTTATCTGGAACAGAAGGTGCCCCAAGATGAGATTTTTACTGAGAATTGGCAGAACTTTTCCTGGTCAATAAATCTGTTTTAGTCCACTCCGCTGATGTTAGTCTGAGACATTTGTGACTTACTTTTTAGAGTAGATTGTAAAAGTGGTTTGGTGTTTTTGATGGTGTACTGGAACATGACAGCCATCTGCCGTACTTTGAAGAACTGTTAATACAGACAAAGGGAAATTGTGCTCGTTGGTTCATGTACATAGCTGCTCTTCTTTAAAAGCTGCTTTTACCTCAAGTTGTGTCTGACGTGCCAGAGCTGTCTGCATCTCTGCTGTTGTATATCTCTGTTTTGTGTAACTGAAGCAATAAGCTTGACCTGTCTTGACATTCCTATCTGTTTCTGGATTGATGCCCTGTTTCTGTCTCTCATATATTTTCCCCTCTGTTGTACTGTACCAGTTTCTTTAGTGCTCTGTGATTATCTAGGAGGATAAGGTTTTGGACTGATGCCTAGCTTGTGTCTCTTTGTATTTCTCTCCTCTTTCTTCTGCCCTTTCCCCACCTTTCTTATGCAGGTCTTGTTCAACGGTGTGTTGTTATCCAACGGGATGAAAACGGATTTGGGCTGACGGTCAGCGGAGACAATCCAGTCTTCGTGCAGTCGGTCAAAGAAGGTAAGCAGGCTGGCTAAATGTGCTAGGCAGAGGCCTAGGGGGTCATCATGTGAGTGAAAGAAACGTGCGTGAGCTGGAGGAGAAACTCTAAAGGCCTTCCTCATGGGTGGGGTGGCTGTAGCTTTGGAGCAGACACGCAAGGACAAAGCACGTTGCACTGCTGGGATGCAGTGATTTGTCTCCTCAGTGTCTGATGCATTTGGAAACTGACCTCGTGTCTGAGAGGAAGTAAATGACTCTTTGAAAAGTGATGGGATTGTGGCTTGAAGTATCCACTGTAAAATGAGAACAGAACTGCTCTAGTCTAGATACTCTGATTTTAATCTGATAGAGACAGAGGAAGCTTGGGTGAGTGTGGGAAGTAGCTTTGCTTGGAACTGTAGAAGAGCTTAAATCATTTTTACTTTGAATAGTTCTACTGAAATTGAAACTAATTGATTTTCTTGCCTTTCTAGATGGAGCAGCCATGCGGGCTGGAGTGCAAACAGGTGATAGAATTATCAAGGTAAGGGCATTCAAATCATCAGAGAAATGGATCCCTTGTATTAAACAAGCTCTTTCCCTGAAAGAATGTCATTGATACGTCTGCTGTGATGTTTGCATTTGCCTGTGGGATAGAGGAATGGTCTATGTTTTGGTGTTCTGGGGATACCAGAACAGTAAGCACTGGAAGCCCACTGCTGAATGTTAGTTTTGTTGTGGAGTTCACCCTCATTTCAGAATTTTATGGGCGAGTTCAGGACCCTACAAAGTTCAAGTATCACACGTATAATAAAAGCAGAAGTGGCAGAGAAGGAAGAGAGTTATTAATAATTACCTGTAAATAGTCAGTCTTCTTGGATTATTGTTTTTCCCCTAATTGCCGCAGATCTGTGTTATATTTTAGTCCCAAACAACTAAGAAATCAAGTCAGTAACTAAAAAAACTATCTAAACTATTGCTGCAAAATACTGGTGGTGCTACAGCAGCTACTGACACAATAAATAGAGCTGGGATTTCCACTAGGCATTTAAATTAATGAATTAAATCAGCTACCCTAATTTTTTTTCTGCCCAGTCAGAAGTGGATTGTTGTGTTGTTTTGTTTTGTTTTGTTGGTTGCTTGATTTTCTTTGGTATGTTTGTATAGTTTTCTTTTTGCAGAGCTCTGCTCACCAAGATAAACTGTTAGAAGAGTAAACCATTTATCTGTTAGTGTCTTGAAAGACATAGTAATGGAGATCGAGGGGGAAAGAAAATACTGTTCATTCTGTGTGATTACTGTGTAGTGTGTGGGTACCTTTAGAAATCAGTAGCTAAACACTGTTAACTTTCTCTTCCTCCCTACCCCCAGGTGAATGGCACACTTGTAACACACTCAAACCACTTGGAGGTGGTAAAGCTGATCAAGTGTAAGTAAAGGTAGTTTACTATTTTTGTCACTGTGCTCCTTTAAAGCATGAAAGGCATCATTTTAAAGGACCAATGACATGACCAGTTCAACCATCAAGTGACAGGGACAAGGTCTAACCATGCCCCATGCTGAGAGATAAAGAGTGTGTATGAAACAGTGAAGTGAAATTGGAGTAATTTTGACATCTCGGACTTGAGCTGATAGATACTTTTCCAGTTTGTCCTTAGCTTGGTGTTCAAAGTTGCCATCAAACCTTGTCTATGCGTCTTCCCATCTTTATACCATAGCTATTCAGGCACTCTTAATGTAGATTATTGTAGGATGCTTACAAAGTACTGGCATTTCTAAAGAAAGTGCATTCTTGGTTGATTTTCTTGTACAAGGAAGAAGGTGGCAGTTGTTCCTTCCACCCTAGTACAGTTTATTTTGTAGCATGAGCGTATGTATACTGTAAATACAACCTGGTGAATGTGACCTGATAGACTTGAAATTGGATTGCATGCTTTTATGAAGAACGCATGGAAGTTTTTGGATTACCTGAAATTTAAACAGAGATCTCTAAGCCGGAGCTAACAGTGCTTTCAAGTTCTCTGAAGAACAAATGAGTGAAGTATGGTCTGTGTTTCATCTCTTGGGTGAAATGGCAACCAGAACAACAGCAACCGTAGAAATCTGCAAGTGTATCTGAAATGTGAATTGTTCTTGTTCTCCCTGCAGCGGGTTCCTATGTAGCTCTCACTGTTCAGGGGCGCCCACCAGGGTCACCCCAGATTCCATTAGCTGATTCTGAAGTGGATCTGGCAGCATTTGGCCACATGTCTCCCATCATGACATCTCCTCATTCACCTGGTGCATCAGGAAGTGCAGAAAGGATTACTAGCCCAGTGCTTGTGGGGGTAAGATTTAAAGCTCTCTTTCCAAAGAACTAGCATAGCAGTGAAAGAAATGTAGTCATGTATTTTTTTTCTTGATTTGTTTTGTGCTTTTTGCACAAATCAAAATTGGAATTGGAACATTTATCCTGCCACCCAGTGGGCATTTAATCACATGGGGAAAAACATTTTGCAAGTAAAAATATGCAGGCTCATCTGAGATAATACAAATTCAGTTGAGGGGTTATTCACAGGTTGTCTTTGAGGTATACTTCAATTTGCATGTTGTGAGTTTATACATTGCCAGGTCCAAGCCAGTCGTGCTGTAACTTCTATTAAAAAGTGGATTGTAAGGTGTGCAGGCATGTGGCAAAGAGTAGGGAAAGCAAATAAGCAAACACTTACGGTCTAATTTCATTTTTTTAAATGCTGTTACCTATATTCAAAAGTAGGAAAAAATGCATAAGATAGGACTTAGAAACTTGAATTGCTTCTTGTAAGGCTTTTCAGAGCCCATGTTTAGGAAGTAGGTGAGAAATGGGCATATCCATTTTCCTTATCTTTCCAGCTCCACCATAAAACCTGACCCTTAACCTCTCCATATTTTCTAGGAGGAGAATAATATTGTCCACAACCAGAAGGTGGAGATTCTGAGAAAGATGCTACAGAAAGAGCAGGAGCGGCTGCAGGTACTGGAGTTGCATGAGTTTGAGGGAGGTAGAGGAAAGTATGATACAAAGATTGGTTGTTGAATCACTACTTAGTAGCATCTTCAACATTCCCTTGCATAGCTTGTGTTTCAGCTTAGCTTTTCTATACACCAAAGATCTAGGTCACTCTTACTGAACAACTCTTGAGCTTTTAATCCTTGACAAAGTAAGAAAAAAATTTTGGGAGCTTTCTTAAGTGGAAATGTTCATATCTGTTGATCTGATATAATCTTTGGGCAAGTAAGCATCTTTGACTCTTATTGAGAGATTTCAGTAAATCTCTAGATTGCAATTATTTTCATATGGCACAGGAGAAAGAGCACAATATAAAACGGACATTCTGTAGCATGTAATTGGTACGTGTGCACATGTGCTGTTTATTATTTAAAATGTGTAAAAGGAATGAAGATTAGCAGTAGGTTGTAGTTCTAATCTTGGATACTGAAGAGATACTGAGTGAAAGCTCATCAAATTATTTTTCAGTCTCTGCAAGAAGAGTATAGCCGATCACCCACCACACGACTGCTCAAAGAGATACAGGAAACGAAGAAGCACATTCCTCAGCTGCAAGAGCAGTTGTCCAAAGCCACAGGCTGTACTCAGGTAACAGAGTGTGTCAGGGTTCTCTGTGGTATGTTCTGGGTGAAAATTCTTGGGGGATGATGGTGTCCCGAGCAAGCAGGAGTTCCCTGCCATGCTCTTCTGTGCTTGTACAGGCAAATTGCACCCTCTAGAGTTGAGACTTGTAATTAGGCTTGCAGAGGCTGTCAAGCAATACAGTGCAATGTCAGTGTGTGAAGTAGACTTTACAATGGACTTTCAAATCATCTGTGAAAAACTGCTTTTAAAACAGTAAGTGCAAACTATGATGTGTTTATTAGTTTGACTGTCAATTACAACAATAGAAACTTATGAAGTCATTCTAACAGTGGAGAATGAGTAACTGGAAGCTTTAAGCAGCTTTGCTTTTGCTTTCAGAAAAAAAAAATGTGGATGGTATTATTTTTCCCCTTTTCCCTCAGCCTATAATATTATAAGTCCTGAAAACTTGGTGTGATTTTTATGTTGACTTCTCTTAGAAAAGCATTGCATCCTTTTCTAGATATGTGAAGAAAGTTTTATGAATGTGAACTATCTGATTTTTGAAACAAATAATGTTTAAGGTTTGTCTCTTGAAATGTTCTGCTTGCTTTGTGCTGTCTCCCAACTCACTTTATCTTTTTAGGATGGGGTCTTGTCCTCTAGGTCTGTGATGGAGTCGCTGCAGATCAGTGAAGTGGAGTCAGAGAGCGGGGACTGTGTGAACAAACTGGATTACAGTGGTGACAGCCCCTCCCGACCAAACAGTGACATTTCTGATGTGAGTCTTGAACAGATCCATGACTTTACTTCTATACCTTTTGGATTTGGTTTTCGTGTGCAAATTCTTTCTGTCTGTGTTGTTCTATTTGTCATATATATGTACTCTCTCTCAATAATGCTGTGTATTACTAGAATAGGCTCAGTACACACCAAAAATATTTCCCTGAGGAAGCGTATTATATTGGACTTCCATTAGGGACTGGGAAAGAAAAAGTGTGGGTTTTTGGTTTTCATCCAGGATTAGATTTTACTGACACAATTCCTGTAACCAGACAAAGAAAGATGGTTGCCGGTATCTTTCTCTGAACTTGGAGATGCCAATTAGAGCATCTTTTAAGAGTATGGTAATGTTCCAGTTGCAGTAACTGTGACTCAGATCCAGTCAGCGGGCAAGTTGCCATGAAAGTGGGGAAGAGCCTTACTTCTACCAAATAAGCTTCAATTATTCCCAACAGAAAAAGATCTTAGTCTGTTCACTCATTACTTATCAATCTGTATGCTCATATGCTCTCTCTATTGAAGTGCCTTAGCACCTAGTCCTTAATTAAGTCACAATCTGATTAGTGCAGAGGAATTGAGACACTGTACTTGGCTTTTGGCCTAAGGATGTAGGAGCTAAATTTGTACTAGCATTTGAAAGTGAAAGAAAGATGGGTTAGGTATATCTCTGAAATGTGAACATACATATTGTTTTGAAACATTCGTCCTCCAACTCCAAATCCAACTAGGTATCACTCATAATAAATGGAAAACAAAATTCTTATCTATCTTCCTAATAAACTTAATCCTGTCAGTATTGTGGATCGTATTTGATCACTGGAGGTGATTGACACAACAAACATTTATATGTTTGCATTGGAAGGGACTTTAAAATCATCTAGTTTTATCCCCCCTGACTTGGGTGGGGACACGTTTCACTAGGCCGGGTTGCTTAAAGCCCCGTCCAACGTGGCCTTGAACCCTTATGGGGAGGGGGCAGCCACAGCTTCTCTGGGCACCCTGAGCCAGCACCTCACAACCCACACAGGGAAGAATTTCCCTTGTCCTATCCCCACGCTCACTGAGTCCCCCCCCACCTCTCCTGCCCCCCCTTTAAGCCCTGGGAGGCCGCTCGAAGGGCTCCCCGGAGCCTTTTCTTCTCCAGGCTGAACCCCCCCAACTCTCTCAGCCCAGCCCCCCAGGGGAGCTGCTCCAGCCCCCCCAGCATCTCCGTGGCCTCCTCTGGCCCCGCTCGAGCAGCTCCGTGTCCTTCTGCTGTTGGGGGCCCCCGAGCTGGCCCCAGCACTGCAGGGGGGTCTCCCCAGAGCGGAGCAGAGGGGGAGAATCCCCTCCCTGGCCCTGCTGCCCCCCCTGCTCTGGCTGCAGCCCAGGGCAAGGGTGGTTTTCTGGGCTGCGAGCTCCCATTGCTGGCTCACAGTCAGTTTTCCCTCACCAACACCCCCGAGACCTTCTCCACAAGGCTGCTCCTCAATCCACTCCTTGCCCAGCCTGTATTTGTGCTTGGGATTGCCTCAACCCATGCACAGGACCTTGCACTTGGCCTTGTTGAACTTGATGAGGTTTGCAGGGACCTGCCCAGGTCCCTCTGGATGGCATCCCTTCCCTCCAGCGTGTCAACCGCACCACACAGCTCAGTGTCGGCTGGGAACTTGCTGAGGGCACACTCGATCCCACTGTCCATGTCACCAGCAAAGATGTTAAATGGCACTGGACCCAACACTGACCCTTGACGAATGCCACTCGTCACTGCTCTCCATTTGGACACTGAGCCATTGACCACAAGTCTTTGAGTGTGACCATCCAGCCAATTCCTTATACACCGAGTGGTCTGTCTGTCAAATCCATGCCTCTCCAATTTAGAGACAAGGATGTCACACAGGACAGTGTCAGATGCTTTGCACAAGTCCATGTAGATGATGTCAGTTGTTCTTCCCTTATCCACCAACACTGTAACCCTGTCATAAATGGCCACCAAATTTGTCAGGCACGATTTGCCATTAGTGAAGTCATGTTGGTTGACACCAATCACCTTATTTTCTATGTACCCTAGTATAGTTTCCAGGAGGATCTGATCTGTGGTCTTGCTGGGCACAGAGGTGAGACTGACTGGCTTGTAGTTCTTTGGATGTTCCTTTTTTGCCTTTTTAAAAATGGGGGTTCTATTTCCCCTTTTCCAGTCAGCCTGAACTTCACTGGACTGCCATGATGTCTCAGATGTGATGGATAGTGGCTTAGCCACTTCATCCTCCAGCTCCCTCAGGAACCACAGATGCATCTCATCAAGTCCCATGGACTTGTGCACCCTCAGGTTCCTTAGATGGTCTTGAACCTTATCTCCAACAGGGAGTGGTTCTTCATTCTCCCAGTCCCCACCTTTGCCTTCTGTGTCTTTGGTGGCGTGGCTGGAGCACTTGCCAGTGAAGACCGAGGCAAAAAAGTTGTTGAGTACCTCAGCCTTCTCCATATCCTGTGTTACCAGGTCTCCCATTTTCTTCTGGAGATGGCCTACATTTTCCCTAGTCTTCATTTTATCAATGACATACCTATAGCAGCTTTTCTTGTTGCCCTTGACATTGCTGGACAGAATTAATTGTCAGGGCTTTGGCCTTCCTAACCTGATCCTTGGCTACTCAGGTTAGGAAGGCCAAAGCCCTAACAGAATTACAATCAAGCTTTTTGATTCAAAGTGACCTTGAAAAACTTAAGGACTGGGGACAGTAGCAACCTCTTGAGGTTTAACAAGAAGTGCAGAGTTCTACAGCTGAGGTGAAATAACTCCATTCATCAGTGCAGGCTGGAAGCCAACAGACTGAGTAGTAGCCTAGCTGAAAAGACCTGGGTGTTCTTGTGGACACTGAAGATGAGCCAACAGCATGTGTTTTGCAAGTAAAGCCAAGTGTCTACTGGGCTACATGAGAATGAGGATTGCCAGCAGGTGGAGGGAAGTTACTAGCCCCTTCTGCTGGGCTGCACCTGGAATACTTAGCTCATTGCTGGGAGCCCCCTCTTCAGAGGGGATGTTGAGAAGAGGGCCTAGTCAGAGAGCTAGCAACATGAGTACTGTCGTTTATGTAGTAGAGGTGAAGAGAGCAAAGAGAAAGTTAAGGACAGGTGCACCAGTAGATTTTACAGCTCTGTTGTTACTCAGTGTTACTGTCTTTCTCACTGAAACTATTTCTACATTTGCTTGGGTTTGGGGTTTTTTTTGGAAACTGTGCATGTAGGTCACATTTTAGTTTGGTTGTTCATACCTCAGCTGTTTAACAGTTAGTTCTGTGAGAAAGGAGAAGTTTTGGCTGTTGTGGCTGAAAAACTTTCTGTGCAGTTCTCATTTTCCTGGATTTGCTGGTACTTACCAGAACTGAACTTCCTTCTTTCCCAGAGTCCTCGCAGTGGCTTGAAGGAGCGGATTTATCCGGATGAGAGCCCAGAAAAGACTGAGGTTCAAGATACTGTGAGTACAAAACATAAAGTGTCACAACAACATTTCCTGTAATGGGCCCATTAAAATCTTGCTGTTTTTCCCTGCTTTCTATATGGAGCATGCATAAACTTTGTTTTAGAAAATAAAATGAAATTAAAATTATGCAAGGAAAGTTAATTAGCTGAGTAAATGTTTATGGAGCTTAAGAGCTGTCACATTTAGAGGCAAAAAATATATAATCAGCAGTAAAACAGCTGGACCTAAAATAGGTAGAGCAGTTATACATATTGTTTTCCTTGAGTCCAGTAGCAAATGAAACAGTCTTTTCTGTAGGATATTTAGTCATTACAAGGCTGATGTCATCAGGGATGGCCTCAAGATTAGGTAAAAGTGGAACATAGCAGAAAGTACAGACCTATCTGAATGTATTATTATCTTCCTTAGGATGACTTCTGAAGTATTTTTCCCCTGATCTGCATGACTTTCCAAAGTCATATTTCTCCTTTTATACTAAGATGGCATTTGTCATATGCCACATGCTTAGTGTGATCATGTCTGTAGATGATGCAGTTAGTTTTGAATCATCTGATTTAATGTTTCTGAATGCTTGCAACTTGGGAGAAGCATTCATAAGGGGATCTCGCATATGCAGACTTGGGCATGGTTGAGTAAAGACACATGGGTTTCCACTGAGTTTTGAGAAGGAGAATAAAAATTATAGTAATACGTCTAACTTGATAAAGAAGTTTTACTACGCCAAGAGAGTAACAGCACTGTACACTTCTTCCTTCACTTCCCTTCCCTGCCCTTCTCTTCCCTCACTCCTATCTCACCCCAGGATTCCCAGTCCAGTGTTGGAAGTCCTTTATCCCGAGTGGGCCCTCAGATCATTGGAGCAGAGGATGATGACTTTGACACTGAACAGGAGCAGGTAGGAATGAATTTCAGCCTCAGCTACACCTTTCCCTCCTCGACCAGAATTCTCTTCCTCTGTGTCTAAATTACAGGTGCTCCATGACTTGTTTTTATTGAGCAGTTTTTATGTGGTGAATTAAGGATTAGAGAATGTGATTCCTGCTATTGCTGATCTTGCCGAATAAAAACATTTGGGGAGTTTATGATAATATGCCATCTTTGAATCGTTGTGTTAACCTTTCTTTCTTCTCATAACTTCAAGCTTCCTAGAAATTAATTTCCCTTATTTAATTTTCTTTTGCCTATTTAGTTTCTATTAAGTTCTGCTTTATTGTCACAGCAGTATAGATACCATGGCCTTTGACATATTTATTCTGAGTTATATTAGTCCTTTGCTCTGAATTATATTTCATTATATTGTACTCAGCGTTCAGGAAGGCATTTAAAAGAAGTATTCCTATTGTAAGCTCTTCCTGGGAAATTAGAATAGCATTGCAAAGGTTCTGCAATTGATCAGTTTTTATTTTGATTAAACAAATGAGGAGCTATGTTGGAACAAAGCTTCTTGGTTTTTTTCACAGTAGCCGTCTTCAGTAATTCATAGAGTTCCCTTGTATCTCTACAGATTAATGGACAATGTAGCTGTTTCCAAAACATTGAGCTCCTGAAATCTCGGCCAGCTCACCTGGCTGTTCTTCTGCATCATGTGGTGTCCCAGTTTGATCCTGCAGCACTGGTAATATGTTCTGGAATTGTTTCCCTGGCCCAAATTGGTAGTCTTAAGCAGAGTGCGTCAGGATGTCTTTGTTCATGTGTAGTGTTGTCAGTGACATGGCTGGATCAGCAAGGAGACAAATGCTGCTCCTGTGAGGGCACAAGAGTATGTCAAATAAATGAAGATAAGCATGAAGAGAACTGTCTCACTTATACTTAGCTCTTTACAAATAAGTATTTAGCTCCTGAAAGCACTTTATTCCAGTTCTGCCATTCCAGTGGTGGGGTTAGTTGCCTCCTGGGAAAATCTGATCTCTCTCTCTGTCTCTGCCTTTCCCTTTTCTGCTAATTACCAGGCAGCCTAGCTGAGGTTACCTGAGCAACCTAGATGGCTGAAGGTAGTTAGGAAGAGTTTCAATCCAGCAGTGCTGGATTCTGTGAAGTATTTGAAAGTAAACTTGAAGTTAGGGGTGTTAGAAGAGTTTTCATGGTATCACTTAATTTCTTCCCCTCCTGTTTCCCACAGTTGTGCTACCTTTACACAGACCTGTATAAGCAGACCAACTCCAAAGAGACTCGGCGTGTTTTCCTTGAATTTTACCAATTCTTCTTGGACCGAGCTGCAGTAGGTTCCCATCATTTCTCCCCAAGCATATCTAGCAAGTTGACTTTTACCTTTCTCTCCTTTCCTGAAGTGGAAGAAACTAAAGAGTTGCTTAAGTCCTCCAAAACAAAAAGTTTTTTTTGTTTAAATGTTACCAATGAATATGACAAAATGAATGGTGTATAGCCTCAGCTGCTTGGTAACTCAGTAAATTGCAGGGAATGCATTACCTGATAGGAGAAATAGTTTTGTGATATGCAAGCTCGCTCTAGCTGTTTTACATTACCTTTTAGTGGCTATTGCAAGGATTTGGAAATTTTGTGTGTGTATTGGGAAGCCTGAGAAACTTCTTCACTGTCAGGAGTTGGAGTACCAGATAGTGTAGCAGAGGCTAGTACCACATGTTTAGATGAAATAATCCTTGTGTAATATAGTACACATTCAGGATGGGAGTCTCCCCCTTAATACCATCAGATGTTCAGGTTGTATGATTTCAGCTTTTGAGGGAATTTTCTTGTATGTTTTGTACTGTGTATTTTATTGGGGTGGTGTTTGTTGTCTGTGTTCTTCCAGCCTTTCTTTTCTTTTGCAGAATCTGAAAGTTCCAGTTCCAGATGAAATCTCCTTAGAACTAGGTAGGGCGCTCTCGCCTCGGGTATCTATTTCTGCAGATTCTGCTGAAGCAATCCAAGCAAGTTTCTGAAATGCATTTGGGCTTACTTCAAACGTACGGTGTCATGTGTTACAGAGAGAGACAAAGAAATACTTCTTATGTTTCTTGGGGAGGACATAATACATGCTGTGATACATGTGTAAGTGGTGGGAAGCATTGGCCACATTGGCGTGTACATTTCTGAGCATGATAACGGATGTGACCAAAGCTGATTACACTAAATGCTCTGGAGTTCATATTATCAGCAAGTGAAAGGCAAAAGGCTACTCTTGGACGGATTAACGTATACATGTCAGTGACTTTATTATCAAGGACTGTTCTCAAAAGAATATTAACTTTCCTCTTCTGACTTACAGACAGAAGAAGGCCAGAACTCCTTCCTGAAGAGCTTCATCGTCAGTTTATACAAACTATGCAAGATAAAGTCTGTCCAGAAGTTCAAAGGAATCTGGAGGATTTCAGGTAACAACAGTGGTCTGTGCAGTTTTTCATTTAATTCCTGCTTGCCCTCAGTCAACATGTCTAATGTAGGGGAAGTCCAAACTCAAGGGACATTGTCATTCATCTTGGACTGAATAGGAAGATACCACTGATGAGGGCCTCTAGGGTCACCCTGTGACCAATCCTTGAATGGTTTTTATCACTGTGTTGCAAGTAATCAATTGCAAGATTAGTTTTAGAGCTTGGATTCTTCATTTCATGAAGAAATTTGAGGCAATTTCAGAATATTGTTATTATGTGATGCTTTATAAATCCTTCTTACTAATTGTGTTTATAATCAGCTTATCTTCTTTTTTCCCTTCTCCTTTTTCCTTCCCTCTCCCCTTTGGACATGGAATAATCCACTTTACAAAACTGTCATGGGCATATAGTAGAATTTGATAATTAATAAGCCATTTCATGTGAAGTCATGAGAGCACTGTGCCAACATGAGGTATTATACCAAGACAAGTGTTCAATAACAGACTTTTTTGTACCTAAAAATGTCTCAGATCAAGCATGTGCTTCAATTATACAACCTGGAATGCTGCAAAAAGAGTAACTGCTATTTCTTGCCCCTTGTGATGACTGCCTCTCTTGAGGCATAAATATCATACAACTTTATCCCCCTGAAGTCTGCTTTAGCTATGTTTTATAGTGAGTGCAAATGTTATGGAGAAATGTCATGTCTTTTCCATTTTCATACAGAACCCAATAATGAAATCTGTTTGACATTCTGAATGTCAGGAGGTTGCTTGTCCTTGTTACAGGTCAGTATTCGATTTCAAGTGATGCTTCCATCTCCCAATTTTTCAGGCAGAAACGTAGTATGGGATTGACTCTGGCAGAAGGAGAGCTAACCAAGCTGGATGCAGAAAGAGTTCGTGACCGGAATGCGGTGGAGAAGGAAAGAGCATGTGCAGAACAGATTATTGCTAAAATTGAGGAAGTCTTGTGAGTAACAGCAAGTATAATTGTGGGGGTAAAAGAGGTTCTACCCTGAACCTGACAACAGCACTGCAAATGAATTGGGAATGAGAAGCAATTTGACATCACTACATTTACATTGCTTCCCCTGTTTGCTATCAACTTACGTTTAAGTAATGATAGCCAGAAGTAAGCTAATAGTTAGGTAAAGTCCATATATCTTTTCAAGGAGGCTGCTGTTCACATAGCAGAAGTAATTCTTCCATTGTCAGATTGTTTATTATTAGATCAGAGTCCCTTTTTGGATTGTAGAAATGTATGGCTTCAGAACCCATTTTCTCTTTAATGTGAGCTTAGCCCAATTTTCCCAGCTTAACCTTCAGTTTTGTTTACTTCCTTCCCCCCACCCCCTCCTGACTTTCTAACATTCTAAAGGACACTTTGAACACAATTATGGATGTGACTGGGTGTTAATTGGTTTTTGAGTTTCATTTTTGAATTCGTTCTTATTTTCAGGATGACATCTCAGCCTTTGGAAGAAGACAAGAGGTAATGGAAGTTGTGTGGGCTTAGTCTGTGAAGTAAGAACCCTACTGCTATCTGTGTTCTACTCAGCAGAACAAGACAGCCCTCTCCTGGCTGTAGCCACAAATTCATTTTGTAAATCCCCTGGCATGATTAATTTGAATTCAGAGCATCAGCCTCTTGCTCTTAACCTCTTTTTTATTGTGAAGTTTGTTGCCTTTGTTTAGGTCTGGAAAAGTTACTGTTATTGAGAGTTCATGTTTCTTTTAGTTTTGTTTTGTAGCTGTTTCAATCTGGTACTAACATTTATTCTCTGGATATGCCTTGCCTTGTTCAGTTCGTATGTATACAACTGTCTGGGTAGCTTTTCGTATACTCTTTACAGTAACGGTGCCTTTTACTATTACTTATTTTTACAACTCAAAACTTACAATGTGACTTCAGATATGTATTTAGTATATCATTTTAGGACCTTCTATGTAATTCTCATAATTTTATTTTACCTCCTAAGCTGGTATGCCTTTTATATACTTCCCATCTCTTGTTTACAAGATGATAAAATTGGATATTGACTGAATCTTTCCCATTGTCTGTGATAGATTGTCTCATATTAACAAAAAAAAATAAAAATGCCAAGTTCTTTTAAACTAAAAATGGTTAATTTCTCAGTAGAACCTTTGCATTTGACCTTTGAAATTTTCTTAATTAAATGTATTTTCCCCAATACATTTCTCCTTATCCTCCATCTTCTTTTTTTTTTTTTTTTTTTCTGTATATACTTGGCAGTTCCACAATGCAGTATGTGATTCTTACTTACATGAAACACCTGGGAGTCAAAGTTAAAGAACCTCGGAACCTGGAGCAGAAGCGTGGCCGTATTGGTTTCTTGCCAAAGATCAAGGTAGTAGCGTTGTGGCTAGAGTGCATTTGTTTGAAGTGGCCCAGCGTGGGTGCTTCATTAGAATTCAAAATCCACTTTTGCAAGACACATTAGAAGTTGCTATGATTTTACAGTCTTCACTGCTGCATCAAGAGGATCTGGGATTACTGAGCTGCACAGAAGAACCTCACAGTTGAAACTGGGCTCTACATATGTTTTTAGACACTTGAATTAGAGACGAGTTGCCTTCTTTCTTACTTTAACTGTGTGCCTGAATTCTAACTGCTTGTTTTTCACAGTTCTAGCCTTATTAAAACTTTGGGTGAGAAATGTTTCCTATAATACAGCCTTGAATCTCTTGAGGATCTCATTAAGGCTAATCAGGCTTGTTGGCCTGTATACTTTAGTTTTCTTCTTGATAAACTTGCCCACAACCTCAATGCTTCGTGATGCAGGAAAGCTACTCTTCCTGCCACCCACACTTTCCCAGTTATATAATGAATTTTTCCACCAAAACTTCATCTCTCTGTGGGTGTGTGCAGTTGTCTCCCACAGTGGTGGGGTGTATATGGTCACAGTAGCTACTTATTTTCATCAGTGTTCCATCTTCCTTTGAAATGTTAAGACTTACAAGCATTCTGCACTGACAGTGCAAAAAGGCTGGATCAAGCGTTCGCAGCCTTTCTGAAGTGGTAAGATAAGTTGTATTTCTCTCTCCCAGGTGAGAGCCTGTATGCTTCTGGAGGTTTGGAGTCACAAGATGTTGTGCCTTAGAGAGACAAGATGCTACTGGTTGTTGTAAACTGGTCTCTTACGCTAGGGAGGACAGTGGTTTCCAGCTCCTGCTAAGTTAAAAACAGGGTGTGTGACTTTCTGCCTGTAACAAATGTATCTCTTGAGATACTGTGGCTGCCTGCTGCTACCCTGTTAGGCATCACTCAGTCTGTCAGTAGGTTGCCTTTGTCTCTGATGCTGCGGGATATTCACCTCAATAATTTGTTAGAAATAAAATTCTTTTGTACCAAACTACCACAGTTTTAAAGAATTGAGTCGATAACTCAGTAAATAACTGAATTTGAAGAAATGAGTGATCTGTTTGCTTTGCATTTCTTTGTTGTGTATTGACTGCAGCAAAGTATCAAGAAAGAGAAAGAAGGAGAGGAAAAAGGAAAGAGAAGAGGCTTTCCTAATATTCTGGGCCCACCAAGGAGACCAAGTCGACATGACAGCAGTGCAAGTATGTCAGACTAGGAAATATATGTTCCCTGACTAATAGTTTGAAAGCCAGATAAAGTCTCTGCTGTCTTTTAAAAATCCATGCTAAGAAGATGCAGTAAACCTTTTGTTTTTAAAATGTGGTTTTGAAGACACACCAACCTAATTTTGTCCTGAAATGCTTCCTCTCTCTATTGCTGAAAACCGGTAAGAGCTCTTTCAGCAATAACAATGGCTCTCTGTGTCTTTAGTTGGCAGAGCCATGGAAATGCAGAAACCCCGCCATCCAAAGCACTTACCTACAGCGTCTTCTGTTAGCCCAGAGCCACCAGATTCTAGCAAGATGCGCCAGAGTGGTTCCTCCAGTGATGGAGCAGATGCACCGTACACACCTGCCAACCCAATGTCTCCTTTGGCAGTGGGTCCCTTTTCCTCTCCAGAGGGAAGCAAGGATGGCGAAACAGGTAGGATGATACTAGCAAAGAGGAATGAGTAAGGATTGTGTTGTGAACGGGATATGCAAAGCACAGTTCTGATGCAACCAGCTTGACAAATTAGGAAATGTTTTTATGTCATTAGCCAGGATCTTCCTTGCCTTAGTCATCTTCTCTGACTTAGTCGCTGGTTCAAATTGGGAAATCTTGCCATGGCCAGAAATTGTTGTTAGGTGGGTTATATCACTGTGGCATCGGATAATTTTAACAGGAAAAAACCCCAGTCTCAGGTGCCTGCTTTTGTAAGCACAAGTCAGTGTCATCTGGAAACATTCGTCACTGAGATTTTTCTTACCGACCTAGGAAATCAGTTCCTCTAGCTCTAAGCTGAAATGAGGCTGTGAATCAAGAGGCTAATTTGGTATGGTTCTTGATGTTTTGTACTAATTCTCTGTTTAGGATTGAAGCAGACTGGAGAAGCTCCACCTACTAATGACTGTATGGATGGCACACCCCGCACACCTAATAATACCTTTGAATTCCCATCTCCTTTGGAAAACTTGCAGGAGGAGGAGGGAGAATCAGAGAGGTAACTGTGGTGCCCTGGATGCTTGAACTGTGGAGGAGAGTCGATGTGACAGTAGCTGTTGAAGCTTAGTCCATAAAATTGTTAGTGACATCATTTGTATTAAACATTATTGGCAGAAGTAGGGAATGCTGGCCTGTGTCTGCTACTATGGCTAGTAGTAGAAAACTGTATATCGGGAATATGAGGCTGATGGATAAAATGTTCTTCTGGTTCGGAGGTTAGGCCTTTACTCTGAAGTTACACTGAATGTCTGATGGAGATGAAATTCTTGCATAAGCTTCCCTAATAATTTCTTTTGTTCTTTGTAGAATGGTTGACATGGGAACACCAAAGGCTTTTCGCAAGTGAGTATGCTTATAAATGTTTGAACTTCACTGAATTTGTTTAGATTTTAATAGGTTATAAAGTAGAATGCAGTAGTGTTTGTTATTCCAAGCCCATACAATTGTCTGCATGATCTTTCCTTTTCTTAAATAACGCATATGTGAAATGAAACACTGCCATCCATATATAGGACAGGTGGAATGAATCATATGCAGATAAGCCCTTTGATCTGAGAGTGAAGTATAGTGATTGCTGTATCTATTGATTGGAAGTGATAGGTTAGGGAGTTGAAATCTCCATGTTGTCTTTTTAAATCTGTGTATTGTTGTTAGCTATGTATCTGCAGATAGATGGAGAAAAGAAATTGTAACCTGCCCTTTCACCGACTTGATAGTTGACTTCAAGCAAATTATTTTATCTGTATCATTAAAAGCAGGGTTATAGAAATACTGTAAGAGGAGATATTCACTCTTAGTTGTTCTGTAAGGGGCAAAATTAGAAAATGTGCCTATAGGTTCAGACATCTAACAGCCTCCAGCTCTTATGGAGAGCATATTCATAATGTTTTACACCTGATATATATACTTAGATTTTCTTTTCTTTCTTCCTTACATCCATGCCTAAAATGGGGGAAATATCTGATGTTTTTTCATAGGATCGACAGTGTTGGTTTCACAGATGTACAAAGTGAAGATGAGCTATATGATTTTGACATGGACATGGATCCTCCCAACTGGCAGCAACTTGTGAGCCGAGAAGTGTTGATGGGGCTGAAAGCCTATGAAATCAAGCGCCAAGAAGTGATTAATGGTGAGATGGATATTTTTTCCTAGCTCACTAAGCACAAAGTTGAAACCTGTCCTCTGGAGCTCTGAAGTTCTTCAGATTTAAAACGAGATCTGTTTTCACTGATCCGCTCAAAGCAGTGGCCATCTGTTGCTTCTGGTTTGCACAGTTTGTGTGTGTGAAACTTCTACTTGGTACTCAAAAGTATCCTAAGATGAGACATATCCAGTCCTTAGAGAAGAAATAAACAATGTTTAAGTGATTTGACACTGGAAGGCCAGTTTACAGTATCATGTTCTATAAAAGAACACAAGAGGCACTGTCTAGTCCGTTGGAAAGCACATGATGCAAATGGAAAGCTACTACCAAACTTCATCTTCAAAGCTTCATCTCAATTTCAGGTCTTGCAATCATGCAGAACACGCTGTGTGGCTACATGAGCTGTTAAGAGCTCGCAGTTTGTTTGGGGTAAATTATGAGTCACCAATTGATTGGCTTCTCTGTTCTTTTAAACATGGAATATAGCAGAGCATGGCTCCATTCTGGAGCAAGCTGGAATATGGGCCAGCAAGGGAAGTGTTGGTGAGGGAATCTTTTGTAAGTTCATGCTCCTGACTTCTGTTTGCCTCACATTGGAATTCACTTTGCCACGCCTCTGTAAGTTTGTAGTTACAATCCTGCTTTCCCCTCTCACTTCAGAATTGTTTTACACCGAGAGAGCTCATGTCCGCACGCTGAAGGTTCTGCATAGTGTCTTCTACCAGCGCGTCACCCGGGAAGGGATCCTGAGCTCCAGTGATAAACGGAAAATCTTTTCAAATCTGGAAGATATCCTTGGGCTTCATGGTAAGAGCAGTTTAGGTGCCTTTCAGCTTTGTAGTCTCAGCTGGAATTCTGCATGCAAATATCTGAAAAATTTAAGCAAGTGACCCTGAAACAAGAGGTAGCCTCATACAACACGTCAGGTGAAAAACAATACTACAGCTGTTCTTCCTTTTGCATCCAGTTTTTTCCATTTCTAATTTACAAAGGTATTTTGATAAAGAAATGCTGGACACACACATTTGGCTACTTGTTTTTTCTTACCTGTGTGCACAGATTCTGTTGTCCTGATTCATGCTTTGATAAAAGCAGTGCTTAGATGAATGGTCTTTATGGGTCAAATTTCAAAACGTTGCAACTGTTGTTGAAGAGATGGAAAAAAAGTCTGAGAAAATTGATGGCTTGCAGGTGGTTTCAAAGGGCAGCCCTTCCTAATTGTTTAGAGAAAGGACTGTTCAGAATCAGAATTTCAGCTCTACCACTGGATAATTACTTGTATAATTTTACACAGGGCAGTGATATTGAGCCTTAGAAAAGATAAGACTGGAAAGGTTCTTAGGGGTCATTTGAAGACAGGTGTTACAGAAGTACAAAGGAGTTATATAACATTTTCTTCATTATTCTGCTAAATTTATTATGTTGTAGGACACTTTTTTTTTTTAATTGAAATGATTGTAAATCTAGCCTTTTCCTAGAATAGCTTTTATTTTAAAATAAATGCTGAAAATTAAGCAAACAATTTGAGCAGTATTAATAAAATTTACCTTTTTTTAGTTGCATTGAATGATCAGATGAAAGCTGCGCGAAAAAGGAACGAGACTTCTGTTATTGGCCAAATTGGGGAAGACTTACTTTCTTGGGTAAAATCTTTTTTTACTTTCTTGTACTTGAAAGTAATGTTTAATAGAATGACAAACAAAGCCAGAGTTTACTGAAGGTAATTCCTAGCTGAAGGTAATTCCTAGAAACTGAAGGTCTTAGAGTTGCCATTTCTGTGGAGCCAACACCGAGTGAGAGAATGAGGGTTGAAGGAAAGCAGGAAGAATTTGCAGAATTTTCATTTGGCTAGTGATAAGGAAATTATTTTTTCTCCCTTAAATTACTCTTTTGATGTGTGGGTAGAGTAGAAGGGTAGTTTTGGAGACATAAAGGTGAGAGTAGGATTTTGAAAAATGTAATAGCACAATTTATTTCAGTGACACTGAAATATAAGTTTTGTGTTACCTGTGGTGCAGTTAAAAGGTAGTTAAAAATATTGGTTTCCAATCCTAGCGTTTACATAGCTGAACCTTTTCAGATTTATAGCACTGTTGCAGGCTTCCTTTCTGAGATCCAAGTGACAGGAGCAGGAGTAATGTAGATTCTTTAAAAAAAATCAGATTCTCTCTCGGGAATCTCCCAGTTTGTTGTTTGTTGTCAAGCCTACTTCATTTAGGATTGAAGATTGATCTGCTTATTCTTTTCAGATCTTCATGCATAAGTCTCTTGTGGCTTTTTTTTTTTTTTTTTTTTTTTATATATATATCCCACTGTTTGTCTAGTATTCCAGAAAAGAAGGAAGAAAATGAAAATCAGATGTGGCTGGTAAAGAAACACCTCCAACCCTTTCAGTTCTCCTGTGTATTATGAAAAAGCAAGAAAATACCTGCTAGAGCAAGCTAGACCTTACAGTAATAGTTATATGCCCTTGTGTAGTGTTCTGGCTAAGTGGCTAAAACAAAAAACCACAGGATCTCATTCTCCAGAGTGAGTATTTTCAGGAGTACTTCACTACACTGCATCACAGACTGGGTAACAGGAATGGGATGCGTTGCAGTAACAGATTAACCATCTGTTATCTGTGGCACTTTTCTCAGCCCTGCTCATGGCTATGATTTCCCCAGCCATGTTTTTGTAATATTTTTGTTTAGGAAATAAAATGTTATGTTATATACTAGTGTTTAAGCATGAGTGTCCCTGAGAAACAAGATGACCTTTGTTCTTGGCGTTGCTGACCAACAGTCTGGTAGCAATCTCCCGTCATTCATCTGAGTGCAGTTTTTTCTGCTCTCCTTATGGCTGACGGTGGAGACACGGTACTGTATTCTCCCTCTGAATCAGCAGTTCATTTAAGGAAAGGATTGTATGTGCCAGGGCTGGAAACAGGAGAACTGTAGAGTTTGAGATGTAAAAGGGTACCTCAGTAGACTGGGAAGACAAGGCATTTAAAAACAGGATGGAGGTGACTTCTCATATTTTGCCAGTAATTCCTTTCCACCCTGGTGAGACCAGTTCTGCTACATGGCTATATGTCTGTTGAAAGTGGCACATGATGAACTTCAGTCTATCTAAATTTGGCTTTCTTGTCTTTCTGGCACAGTTTAGTGGACCCGCAGAGGAGAAGCTGAAACATGCAACTGCCACTTTCTGCAGTAACCAGCCCTTTGCTCTAGAGGTCATCAAGTCACGCCAGAAGAAGGACTCTCGCTTCCAGACTTTTGTGCAGGTGAATTTTATGCAAGGGTTTGAGTTGCCTGAGGATGTGGCTGGTGGCCAGCATAGTATAATGAATGGTTGTAGATAAATTTATTATAATTAATGACATCATGTTTAACATTATCTTCAGATTGGGATCACTTCCAATACTGTATTTATGTCTGCTAATTGTTTCTGGAGGGAGGAGCCTTTAATTCTGGGGAACACAGAATGTCCTCATAGAATGCAGGAAAGCACATGCTGTCCCAGGCAGGAGATGGCATCTCACTTGAAGTGGCTGTTTCCCAAGGATGAGTACTTCTGTGGGGAAAACTGCGTATAGTAGTGCAATTTTGATGCATGCCACGGGCAGAAGACAGATTGATCTACACCTAGTCATCCTGCTAGGAAAGGGGCTTGAATACATGTGGCATTTGGAGGAGAGGACATTATCTTCATTACCACAGGCTGTGGAGAACTCTGGTAATACAAGGGTTGAGGTTATATTGAAAAATGTACTGTAGTTTTGCTGTAGTATGAAAGCCTAAACTGATGTCTTCCCTGTGTGGTGGTGACTGAGATGGATTGGAGATGGTGCCAGACCTCTGTGAAGTAATGAGGGAAGGAGGCTGCTGCTTTTGTGATGAGCCTTTCCTATATGTAATTGCAAATGGAGAGGGGATGTGTTGTCTGAATGATAGATCTTGGCATTTCTTGTCTTGTATTTAATTAGTGGAAAGTGAAATAATAGACGTTTATGTGATGAATAGATGTTACATGTTCAGGTAATTATAGTCTTAATAAAAATGACAAATGTAGTTATTGTGCTGTTTAAATTTAGGATGCTGAGAGTAATCCACTGTGTCGCCGGTTGCAGCTGAAGGATATCATTCCCACAGAGATGCAGAGGTTGACTAAGTACCCCCTTCTACTGGATAACATTGCTAAGTACACAGGTAAGCGTTGACACTAGGGTTTGTGTGTACATCTCAGCAGGCTTTCTAGGCAGGTGTGATTTCAAAGCATATGTTGAAGAACAGTTTGATCTTACGGGTCACTATCTGTTTTCACTGTGACCTTGCTGCTGCCTTCTGCAGAGGAGGGCAGTTAAAAAAAGGAAATTCGATATGAAGTGAGTGACAGTCTGCGTTGGGTTATAGTGTATGTAGAGTGCAACATAGTAATTTAAATGTAGTCGTAAAAAGTTAGGGGAGGGGAATGCTAAAGTTTTGACAATAAATCAAACTACTCTGCTTATGAAAGTTACTGTCAAAACAACTAGATTTGCTATTAGTTTTTGAAGAAGGAAACCAGGACTTCCTGAGACTGTTTCTTCTCCACCCTCCAGTTCCTAGCCTGTTTCTTAGTTTTACGTTATTATTATTATTATTATTATTATTAGTCTTTAATGATTGTGACAACCAAACAGAAGCAAAGAAGATATTTCTCTGTACCCATACATTTCTGATGGCATAAGAGTATGTGATAATGTCAATAACTGGAATTAGAAACAGAGGAAAAAGAGCGGGTGATGTGTTACTCTTCCGTATTACATGCTCTTGGCAACCAAATCTTTAGGAACTTACTGAGAGGCAAGTTGCATTTGTGCTATTGTTTTGAATAGCCATTAGCATGCCCATTCATTCTGTAATTTTCTAGATATATTTAACTCATTTCTACAATCTTGAAGGAAATAACTGGAAGTAATTCAATCACTACAGATGATACTCTATTTGTTTCAATGAATTGGTTTTCAGTAATAAATATGGTCTGTTAAACATACTTTTTTTCTTGAATTCAGGACATTAAGATAACTAAATCAAGCTACTAAGAGAAAACACTTTAAAATTAATTCCAATTTCCATGCAGATGCATTTGAGAGAGAAAAAGAATAAGATCTTCAATGAAAGAAGTCCCTAATCATCCACTACTAACATAAAAATGTGAAGAATGAAGAATCTAATGAAATCTATCATGTTATTCCATTGCCTAAACAAGCTTGGATACACATAGGGCATACTTCTGAGTGAGGAATTAAAAAAAAGTATTATAGAATCTAAGCAAAAATCATGTAGTGTTAAGGCTGATGGCAAATCAACATGCTTCTTTAAAGAGAACAAAAAGCAGATAATACAGAACAAATCAGTTTTTTTTTGTTTTTTGTTTTTTTTTTTTTTTAAGGTCAAGGTTTTCTTGTTACTGACCAAGGATACTTGTGTTTTGGTTTTGTGGTTTGTTTTGGGTTCTTTGCTTGTTTGGGTTTTTTTGGGGTTTGTTTTTTTTTTGTTTTTTTTTTTTTTAATCAATTCCCAATATCAGGGGAAAATGTGCACTCAGAGCATGGTCTGACCTACACCCCTATGGTCTGATATAAAACAAGCTTCACATAAAAATCTTGGATGTTATCAATATAATGTCAACTAAGAATTTGAAGCAGACTGAACTTGAAAGAAATATTTTCCTACACAATAACCACCAATAGAATCTTAATGTAGCCTTCCTTCCTCATCTGTTGAATCTCTAAAGCACTGCAGAACATTTTCATGTTCTTGCAGAGGGTGGAGTTTAGCTAGGATGTGTTACACTGAAAGACATTTCCAGCATAACAGGCAAAAATATGGTTAATAATACCACAGAATGCCTTTTCAGGTTTACCAGCGGATACTTGCTGCAGTGTAATTTCATTACTCATAAAAAATATACTGCATTTACAAGTTTAATCATCATTAGGAAAGCATGTGATACTCCATTATCCTTGATGTACTTGTTTGTTTGACTGTTAACTAAATTCTTAATGTGGTTTGCAGTAGTGAAAATTGATGGGGTTCACCTGTGTCTATTTGTATATGGTGAGTGACATTGGATGGAAAGATAACTCCTGTTTGCTCTTGCTGTAATGGAAGATTCTTTTTTATAATTATGCTGCGTGAATGTATCCAGAGATACATTATTCTGAGCTGTTAAAATAAATACAGGCTATCTGGATGAAAAAAGTTATTATGTAACACATTTTTTTCATATTTTGTGTTGTTTCTTTCTGTTTCTCTCTCTTCCAAAAAGCAAATAAAAAGGATTGGGAGAATGCAGAAGCCTGTAGTCAGTTTCCAGATCCTAGGACTTAGGCTAGCTGGCTGTGTATGATCTTAAATATCTGCCCCAAGACTCTATTTGTACTATGGTAGAGTCTTAGTAAACATTTTTGATTTCTCAGAGTACTCCTCAGATTGATGTTTGGGGAGTGAATAGTTGTCACAAGCCCCTCCAAAAAGGGAGAGTAACAGCTGCTGTCCTGTACATGGTGATTATCAGGGGCCAGTGTCTTGTGCAGGGCAAATGAATTCTCTCCTGTCACAAATCTGTTTCTGCCATTTCACCTTTGAAATGCAGTGCTTCTATTGATAAACTAGTCTGTGAATTTAAGTTCTCTTTCTCAAATTTGAGGTCAGCAAACTGCACTAGATATCTTTTTCAGCCTTTATTGGAAAGCATGAGGACATCTCCTTTTTTTCTTGCAGAACTGCCTGAAGAGAAAGAGAAAGTGAAGAAAGCAGCAGATCATTGTCGTCAGATCCTTAACCACGTGAACCAGGCTGTCAAAGAGTCTGAGAACAAGCAGGTAGGAAGTGAATGGAGTGAGCATCAAAGGTTGGGGAGAAGAGAGTTGAAGGGCAACAGGCTGTTTAAGACACTTAGGCTCTCTGTACTAGTGACTTCATATTGTGCTTAAAGGTGTTTTGTAGCACAAGTATTGCTGTGAGGGGAAGAATCCCAGGCATTTGGGAATGTGTGGAAGTATTCATGACTGCATGCACTCTGATGCTAGTGGGTTTTGCTAATCAAAGTGACCATCTTCACTGCATTTTTGGCAGCACTTGGAAGATTATCAGCGTCGTCTTGACCTGTCCTACTTGAAGCAGTCTGAGGATCCTATGATGGATGAGTTCAGGGTGAGTGACAGCATGAAAGCAATCTGTAAATCATGTTTGCAACCCTGTTGTTCATGGCTCGTTGTTATGGCTCTTTCTACTACAGTCTTCTGATGTACAATCAAATGGTCTTTGGAGATAAATAACTCTGTACAAAAATTAAAACAGTCTCCGACATTTGAGTTTTGCTACCTTCCTGAAGATCTCTCTGTATGTAACAACTTGGTTCTGCACATAGTAGTGTTGATAAAGCTTGTGAACTCTGAAACAAATCCTAATGGTCTGCAAGCTAATGCATTGTACCTCATAAGAGATATCTGATGGACAATAAGTCTTACTACAGATATATATCTCATATGATCACATGTCTTAGTTGTGCTGTTGGAACTGGGGGGGCCTCGGAGAGTCATGAGGTGTAGCAATTAAGTTGGCTTTAAAAGAAGAGCTTGTACACAGGCTGATTTGTATAGATCCACAGGTGTAGCCAAATAAAGTCCAAAGTCCAGTACTGTGTTTCATGGCCTCTGTAAATGCTTACAGTTAGGTTAGTGAAGCTGGTTACTTGCCATGAGCTGCTCATAAATAGAACGGGCAACACAGCATCCTTGGAGCAGGGCTGACAGTGAAATTTTCATGTTTCAACTGAATGGTGCGCACCGATAGGCACTTGCAACTTGAAACAAACTTTTTCTTTCATGCATGTTCCAAATAGGTAGCTTCCAAACAAGGACTCTTCCCCCTTTTCTCCTGCATCTTTTCCTCATGATTTGGTACTTTATCCCCAGTTTTTAATTTTTACCAATTGCTGTGCTTGTGTCTTGTATAGATGCTCTGTTGTTTATTTAGCACTCCTCTATCTTCCCCAAAATCAGTGTGTATCCAAAAAAATTTTATATGAAGACTTTTCTATAAAACTGTGTCATGTATCCTTCCACAAATAAACTTGCAAGCATTTAGTTAGAAAATGAAGAACTTACTGGCAGTTATGAAATCTTGCTGTCATTGATTGTAGACTCTGAGACTTGGAAGGAATGACTTGTGAAAATTGTCACTTCTACTTGCCTGCAGATCTAAATGTCACAAGCACTGAAATGACTGAAGAATCCATTGACATTATAAAGTCCATCAGATCACTGGCATGATTTGTATACCAGTATATCATTTGTAGGTACACTTGACTTGCAAATCAAGTGCTGAAGCATTAACCAGTCGTAATACTAGAACTGCAAACTTCGTATGGGATATTGGAAAAACTCCTCGTAGAAATCAGTGCCTTGGTAGCTTGACTTAGTAGGAAGATTCTCTACCCTGTGACCCCCAGCATCTTCAAAAGAGCAGTGAAAGAGGAAGAGTAATAACAAACACCTTTACACCTTTCACAAGATTTAGGTTTACAAGGATACCCTACTCCTGCTCCATGTTTCTTTTTCCAGACTGGGTTTGGCTGCTCATCTCTAAACTGGAGTGCCTATCCCAGCCTTCCCTCTGATATTCCCAAGATTTACCATTACTCGCTTCCACAGAAATTTCATAGTGCTACATTTTTTTCTTTTCCATGGTGACAGAATTTGGATCTAACAAAGAGAAAAATGCTTCATGAAGGACCTCTAACTTGGAAGGTTAATCGTGACAAAACTATTGGTGAGTCCTGTTCTATCAACTAACTTGGTTGGGTTTGTGTCTGCTGAGGAGAGAAAGAGAAAGCATTTCTGCAGTTTCCAATTATGATTCTTACTGCCACATACAATAATGCCTGTGTGTTTCTCAGAGCTGATTAAATTATTCTTGTCAATTCTGAAATGTGCTGGAGTATCATTAAGGCCATGCAGGGACACAGCAGTCAGTCATGAGATGATCCAGTTCCATCTGTAGCTTTCTGCTGTAGTTTTGATGAGGAAGGTTTGCAAGCTTTGCCTAGAATGGCATAGCACTGATTACTGCCTCTGCATGAGTAATCAAAAATGCAGCCTTTTTCTTTCTGCAGGGATGTGATACAAAACTATGAATCTTTAACTCATTCTGGGTTCTTTTGCGCTCTGTGCAGATCTCTACACTCTGCTTCTGGAGGACATTCTGGTGCTGTTGCAGAAACAAGATGATAAACTGGTACTGAAGTGTCACAGTAAAATCTTGGCATCGACAGCTGACAGTAAACACACCTTCAGTCCTATCATCAAATTGAACACTGTTCTGGTTCGTCAGGTGGCAACAGGTCAGTGTAACCAATTGAGAAGGCAAAAGAGAAAGCCAAAAATGAAGATTAGATCAGTTGGAGATAGATGTTTTTGTCTAGCATTCCAGAGAAGAACAGAAAACTGCGTAGGCTTAATTCTTGGTTGTCCAACATCTTGCTTTGGGTGTACGAACTGTTGCATCAGTAATAGGCATGGCTTGAGTTTTAAATAGACTTCTAAATTAAAGTACTCTGTTTTAGATGAAAGGTACTCTAGAAATTGTTAGAAGGGAAAAGAGAAGAAATAAATCTGTTTCAAAATGGTTTGGGCAGTAATGATTCTTTTCTTTCAAGACTAATAGACAACTTTCCTTGATAGGGAAAGATCGATAAGGATTATCTCATGAACTCTTTCATTGCTTCTGGTTGAGGTTATGCCCAGTTTTAGTAATTTTCAGAAGGCTATGTGGGACAAAGCATCTAGTTAAACTCTTCCCTCCCTGTGTTGCTTCAGATAACAAAGCTTTCTTCGTCATCTCCATGTCAGAAAATGGTGCTCATATTTATGAACTGGTGGCACAGACTGTTTCAGAGAAGAATGTGTAAGTAATGGGTTCAGCTCCATCTGCTGCTTGATTTTTTGGTACCTGAGAGATCTTTTACATCTGCTTGCCTGTACTAACTGTTCAGGTGACCATGAATTACCATGAGTTCCTTCTTTAAGCTTATCTGAAAACATAGCTACGTTGGCCTTTGTAGGAAATATCCAAGGATAGTCTCTCCCAACTTAGAAAAAGCAGGGGGAGGGTGTATACACATAGTGAGCATGTGTGTGTATGTGTGTCTGTATATACCACATATGTATTAAAAAACCCACCCCATACATACACTCAATGTTTCTGTTACTGTTGCTTGCTGTCTGGCTCACTCAAGACCCTTTTCTGACCTCAAAAATGCTTTTATTTACCCTTTCAGTTCTGGTCTTATGTGACTGACTTGCCAGATAAGTAACTTAAATAATCCTGCATCCTTTTGCAAAGCCAGTTAGCTTTGCAGACTTTGATACTAGCATCATAAACTCCCCAGTGCATTAATCTGATTCCCTAGCCAAACGCTTTTTTTCCTCTATGGCAGAAATGCTTTTCTTCTAAGGTATAAGCAGGATATAGACTTACTAGTATGATACATAGCAACTGTTCTAGTGTGTTATATATGAAACTCTTCAGTAATAGGTGAAATGTTACTTAATGCTTTCATATATATTTATATATAAAGTAACTGCCTCATCTGACAACTCCTGTTAAGGTGCTGTCATTAATTGCCTTCTGCTGAAGAGTATCGTGGTGAGGTGAGGATTAATCTGTGGTGCTTCACTTGTGGCTGTAAGGTATTACTAAGGAATTGAATGTAACAGAAATTTAAAAAAAAAAAAACAAAACAAACTGTCGATAAGAAAAGCAGTAATAATGTTAGTTAGATTTGAGAGGTGTTAAATAGAGAATTATTCATCATACTTCACATCTTACATGTTTTTATTTGATGTTTCTATTGCAGATGGCAAGACCTTATAGCTCAGATGGCAGGGACTGTAAAAATGGGGAGTACCAGAAGAGTGATTCCATTACCACAGTCAGGACCTGGCGAGTAAGTAAAAGTAGCTGGAGGAAGAAGGGCTGTTTGCCCCTTTTTTTTTTTTTTTTTTTTTCCAATACCCCTTCTTCTGCTCAAAGGTTGCCAGCCTAAGCATGGATTCTTATATAGCGATTCAAATATATGTGACTAAAAGAATGTGTTCATTCTTTCCTCCCTGCAGAGAAGAGCGTGAAGAAGAGGAGCAGCAGAAGCTCAAAGAGCAGCATGACATTCCTGCTAGTAGTCTACAAAGTCCAGGTAAAACAGTGGTCCAGGTAAATGGTACCAGTAGATTTGCTACATGGACTGCAGATGTGCCAAGCCATATTCCCTTTGGCTTGGGGATCTTTTGGTAGCTTTGATATTTCTTTCGAAAGGAATGATTTCTTCACAAGTCATGTAGAGAAGTGATACTGAACCTCCTGGAAACGTACCTCTTACTATTTCCATCTGTTGTATAAATTGCTGGGAAAGATTCTTTTTTCCCCTGGAAAGAATTGGCCTGCTCAAGAAGAATATTTTTTAGTGCTTTCAGAGATTTCTGTGCGAAGCAGAATTTTCTGCAGTTTATCATCATATTTGACATAGTTGTTTAACCTGAATGTATATTTTCTGTTTACTAGATAAAGATTTGGGCCTTGAATCTCCCTTAATACTGAATGCTCAGTCGTCTTCGCCCATCATGTCTGAAAAGTCCAAGGTAGAAAGTCTTCTTGTGTCAGAAAGACAGTTTGATAAAGTGCAGCAGGCAGACCTAACACTTAAAGATTCTTCTCCGTGCTATGAACACACAACCAGCGGTTTACCTTCAGTATCAGAAGGGCAGTGGGCACTGGATGCATTAAGGAACTGTAAGTATCTGTGGGGAGTGTCTGGTGGGATGTGATTTGGAGATGGGAATTGTTAGGTCAACCATGTAAATCAATGAGGTAAAATAAAATTTAAAGTGTATTTCTATCAAGTATCAATTCTTTCTGTGCTGTAGATCACAGCATAGCATAACAATGGATCTGACAACAAGGAATTCGGAGTTTTGAATTCATATACTGGCCCTTTCTTTGGCTTTAGGCATCTCACTGTTTTTCTGTGGTTCTCCCATGTATGAAATGATGGTGCTAATGAATTGTTACTTACTGTCCATGAAGTACTTTGATGACAAAATTTTATTGGAGAACTTTGTGCAGTGCTGTACAGTGCCATTGCTAGTCAGCAGTTTTTTAAAAGACAATGCAGTTAGCCTGTGGACTTATTTTCACAGCACTGGAGAAGAGTAGGAGAGGTTGCATGAGTTGCAGAATATGATTTTGCATATTCTTTTGTAAAATCCTGCAAATGAGATTGAATATATGTGAGCTTGACAAAGTCTAGGTTTAGATTTTTCTGAGGACTTGGGAGGTGATTGGATATAATTAGATCAACACTTGTGCGTGTTGAGAAATTTTCCTGGTGGGCAGATTATTCTGTAAAATTGTTTACAGGAGATTTTTAATCACTTCCTCTGTTCTTCAGTATGCCTCCTTTGAGAGGAAGAATGCAGGGCTATGCAACCTACTTGATCAAATCTAGCAGTGCAATTCCTAAATATAACTTCCTAAAATTTGAATGAATTCATTAATCCATATATCTCTTCTTGGCAACCCTGAAAGGGACATGAAGTCCCTCAGCTGTACTTGGAGACAGTAGTCTATATTGCTTCTCTCTGGGTCATTTGCTTTTACCAAAATGCAGAGCGTTTGTTTCCTTGGCCCAAATTCCCTCTTCCATCTCTCTCTACAAGTAATGGCAGTTCTCTGCAATCTAATAGTTTATCTTGGATGTTTTGATCCATTTATGCTTCTCCTTCTCACAGGATTCAAAGTCCTTTTCTAATTCTGAACGCTGTACTGGTACTTGTTTTCAGAGACCAGGGATAAGATAACCTTAGTCTGTGGGGTGTATAAGGACACCCCGTATTAGTGTATTAGTGCTGTAGCATCTCACGGCTATTCAGACTTAAAAGAGGAGCCCTCTAGCAGCAGCAGTGGGTCACTCACATTTTGACAAGAGCCTTCCACTTAAAAGAGTGACTGTTCTGTTGTATGAAATAATAGCTTCTCCTAGGTGTTCCATGAGCATTATATGGTGAGAATGAACAGTGTTCTTATGATCTTGACAGTTTCATATTTTTGTTTTGAACAATGTGTCCTTATTATAAAGTGTTTGGTTGGGATAATTTGAGAACTAAGGGAATGTGGGTTGAAGTTCAAACAAGCATAAATTTGCAAGAAATTTTAGGGAAAATGTGTCTTCGTTTTTTTTGATCTGTCATTTCAAAGTTGAGTGGAATATTCTCAGTATGCTTGTTTCTCAGGTGGGAATCCCCTATAGTGGCCATAGTTTTCAGTTTGTCTGGGGGCATGGGTAAAACCTGGGCACTCACCACCACTCCAGCTCACTTGCTGGATAATTTCAGTAGATGATTTCTCTGTTTTACCCTAAGCAAGATGGAACTTATACTGACACATTTGCTCTTGCTTGTAAGGTAAAATGTGGAGTAAGACTTCGGACCTTATATATTTATTTTTATTCCCATTTTTTCTACCAAGAGCAATGAGAGAGCTGGCTGCTATGAGATATACCTTTTTGAAAGGGTGGCCTTTATGTCTAGTTTAATTCCTGTTAGGGAGGTTACGGTCTGTGAAGCCTTGTGAACGTTATCTCTACTTGCAGTGGGCTTGCTGAAACAATTGTTGGTACAGCAGCTTGGCTTTTCTGAGAAGGGGACCCTTGAAGACCGGCAGCGCTTTCCCAGGTTTAGGACCGTTTCTCAAGAAGCCCAGGTGGGAAGTGGAAATGAGACTGCACTACAGCACTCTGACAGTAGCAGATTTCACCAGCCTGGAACAGACAGAACGCTTCCAAGGACCGGAACTAATGAGTCCACAGCTAGTTATGGCCTCCGGACTTCAGCTGAACTGCCAGCTTCAGGGGATGCCATGCAGCTGATAGTGAGAGACCCCAGATCAAGTAGTAACTTAGCAATAGACCACATGAGTGTGAATCTGGAGATCTCAACCACAGAGCTGGAAGGGGTGGGTGCTGATGAAAGCGGGGAGCATTTTTTTGATGCTCGAGAAGCTCACAGTGATGAAAATCCCTCTGAAAGTGAACTAATGGAAAGGAAGGAGGAAGAGGATGTGCAAATACGGATCTCAGGTGAGCACTTTTCATTCACTCATTGAATGATAGTCTGCCTAGATTCAGTATCAGAGACTTCCTCTCTCGCTTATATGGTATAGGACATTTAGAGTTAACTCTCAGACCCTGACAGTCATTTTAGCCCGGAGAAGGGCTATGCAGACATGTACCTAATGAATTCTCTATTTTATGAAAGGGGATGCTGAAATACTGTGGGGTAACACACTGTGACAGACTGCAATTACAGAGGCACCAGCCACAATGCAAGCTCTTGATTGCGGTTGCCACTGGACCACTTTATCTTTCAACTGACTATTGGGACCTGTAGGGAAAATGTTTTCCCTGAAGTCAAAGCACTTCCTTGGCCTGTACACACAGAGCCCTCATGACTCGTGCTATTTTGTATATACTGTTTTGGCTTCTTCTGATCAAGCTTCAGAAAAAAAACTTACTGAGTTTAGCTTTGCACTATTATTGTTTCCGGTGACCTTACTCCAGTCTGAAGCTCTTAAAAGCTTATTATTTTTGTTATTTTTATTATTATTACTACATATAGTATATTTGTTGGTTACCTGAGCAGCATCTCAAAAGTGCATCAATTCTAGCCTTCGAGAAGGTTGTAGAGCTGTTAACTCAGCAGAAAACTAGTGCTAAGACAGCAGCCGTGAGCACTTTCATGGGACTTTACGTGCTTTGTGTTTGGAAAGTCCTGTGATTTTGATCAGCCAACATGGTGACACTGCGCTAAATTTAGCACACCAAGTTGAGGTTTATCTCATGTGCATGTTGTAACAGAAGTAGCTGCTAGTAGGTAGATTTTGTATGACTATTAGTCTTGAATTCTATTATCCATAAATATGCTTTCATTTGAAAATTGGATTCTAACAATGTGAATAAGCCAATTTGTGACTGTTTGAATGCTGACTTCCAACTACGTATTGAAAATAAATTTTTTTTCCCTGAATTACTGAGACATTTTAAATTATTAAAACTGAGCCAACAACTTGAAGCATCTAATTTATTTGTCACCTCTTACACTGTTTACTCAAACTGTACAGGGACATCAAAATTAGATTGACCTGTTTTTAGTCAATTCTGACTCCACATGCTAGCTTTGCTGTAGTACTGTACTGAAACTATTTAATATAATCCTATTGCTAGGTGCATGTTGTGAAAGCATTTCTGTCTATAATTGCTTTATCCTTTAACATATCATCAGCAAGCTAAATTTTAAAGCTAACTCATCTAAAAGCATCCCCAGTAGCATAGCTGGCCAGTGGAGGTTAGAAATGTAGCAGTCTGATTTGTTGGGTACCATTAGTTTAAGTGCAGGTTTTTTCAAATGTTGTAACAGAAACACTGATTTTGGGAAAACAGGAAGGTAGATGATTAGCTCATCTAATTATGTTATTCTCAAACTGCAGTCCAAAAACCAGCCATGATCTTTGAAACCCAATTCAAACAAAACTAGTCTGGTCTGATAAAATCACTATTCGGTATAGTGTTCACAAATGCTTTTTCTTATCCATTTTAAAATGTCTCAGGGGATGGGCCTCTCACTACTTATCTTTCTTAAAGTCTGCTTAAACTGTCTACAGTCCAGTGGTTCTTGGTGATTATTAAGTTGGAGGTGTTAGTAAAAAGCTGTTCTCTTAACAGGAAATTATTTGATCCTTGATGGATACGGAACAGTGCAGGAGAGCTCCACAGATGAGGAGGTATCGTCTCTGGTTCTCCAGTGCACTGCAGGTGGCCGCACCTCTTTGGACTCTGCACAGCAGCAGCCACTTTCCCCACGGGACACCCAGTCAGATGGAGGAAGCTCCCCGTTTGCTGAGGAGATGATGGCCTCACGCTGGGGGGGAGTGGAAGAGTCCTGCTCGTTTGTAGCAAGCCCTCACTTCTCGATAGAGTCACGTGTGCAGATGATGCAGTATATTCAGAAGATAGAGGATGACCTTGAAAAGTTAAAGGTAGAGTATATTTCTATTTGCAGTATCCGGGCTTTCATATTCGTTAGGTTTTATTTTAGAGAAGAGCTTGAAAACTATTTCAAGTGGCAAGAAAGGCAACCATGCTTTTTTCTTTTTTGTCTCTGGCTCTTGTCTCTGGAAGCTTTTGAAGCAGAAACTTGGTGATATTTTGCTTGCATTGAGGGTTACAAGAGGCAAGTAGTTCCACTAAAGCTAGCGGCGATGTATATTGCTTTGATTTGAATTTGGAGAGGTTCCTGATGGATAGGATGAAACAGATGCAAGTCTGCAACAGTGGAGTTTTGAAGGGGCCACTGGCCTAAGGAATATGAATTTTTGACATGAAAAGGCTTATAAAATCTGTTGCATGCTGCTGCTAATGTCAAATGAAGGTTCTAAGTTGCAGTAGACCAATAACAAGGTTTTTACCCTCGCTATATTCAAAATTATTTTTTGTATGAGACGGGGATTCTCTATACGTAATAGCCATTGCAGTGGGTTTATAGCATCCTGATGTATGAGACATACTAAGATATTAAGTCAGTAGCCAGCCTTTAATTTAACTGAAATCTGCAAAGAAAGTGGAATACGGCATGCAAATAGAAGGCCTGATAAAAGTGCTGATAAGTGAGTTGAGATCCATTGTGAGTCACTGTGCAACATGGGTGATTCCAGCCCACTCACCTATTGTGAAACTTCTCTTTTCCCATTTGAAGCCGTCTTTGTTACTTGGTAAATAGAGAAAGAGCCACTTGAGTTTCGGGGTTGTTTTGTTTTTTTAGGAGGTTGAGGAAGACTACACCATTCTCCGACGCCAAGGGCTGGCTGGATCAGCCTCCACAGGAGAGCACTCAGGTACGCAACCAGACTGTCTATCATTGGTAGCATATACCTTGTTAGCTTCAGCCATTAAACAAAGAGCACAAACTCAGTTGTTAATGTTTCTCACACACACACACACACAAAAGGTTTCATCTACTTAAAGGGTTGAGACTCTGCTGATTCCAGGAAAGGTCAGCTGAATCCATTGAGACTCACATGTGCAGAGGAGCTTGTTCCTTCCTCTGAAAAGGTGCTTTCAAAGCTTTCTCACCCCTACCTGCCAATGACTTACATCTCAGGATGTACAGCTTCCCTTTCAAAGAAGGCTAGACTGATGTAAATTCCCAAAGGAAGATTTTTGAACGTATAAAATGATTACAGTCTGTCTGCTGTGTAAAGTGGTTGTCATGGGTCCCTTAAATTTGCCTTAGGCATCCTAGGGGTGTAACTGCTGGAATTACTAACAAAGGTCTTAAGGTTAAATGGGTGTGCTGTCTCTCATATAACATGCTTTCTCTGCTAGTAGTAGTGTTCAGAAATGTTGGGCATCCATCTCTCACTGCAGCCCCCCCCCTTTCTCACCACCATGTTGGGGGTTTTTTAATTTCCTTTTTTTTTCCCTCCTTCAGACAAAAGCTAGTCATGTTTTCAGGAGTGGCTGAAGATTGGATGAAGAGTATCAGAACACAGCACCGCTGTCTTCCTTGTGGACTCTGAGACAAGAGGGTTTGGACCATCCAAACGTGAACCATACTCTAGCAAAGTGGGCATGGGGTGCTTTTCCTGTGGGGCATCTGCACTATCTTGTCAGTGAGGGAGTCTATGCTATTCTACTCCTCTCCTTGCTACCAGAAATTCATTTTTCAGAACAGAAAAACCAAACCAAATGTACAGAGCTTTGGGTGTAGGATATAAAAATGTATTTAGACATTTAAAAAAAAAAAAAAAATCAATGTATTTATTTGACTTCATTCCGTGTATCAAAAGCACATTTTAATTTTTTAATCTGCCTTTTTTGTTCTATTTTAATTGGGTAGTGACAGTTCTAGCCCTCTGCATATCGTACACCCTTCCCGCTACTGCTCCTGAACCAAAGTCAGGTCTGAGGGGAGAGGGTGTGCCTATGTGCAAGTGTATCTTTACTTCGCTGGACTGGACTCTGCACTCCCTGCTGGCAATCAGACTGCCATGCGAAGAGCTACTTATGAAGGTGTTAGGATGACTTGTGGCTGGAACTATCTATTCAACAACTGCATGGGAACCGCTTATGTCACCACACGCGTAACAAGAATTTTCCATGCGCTCAATAGCCAGGCACTTGAGATGGGCAAATTTTCTTTTTTCCCTCTCCCATTAGGGGTCTCTTTTGTTGACATGCAAGATTAGATGGGAGAGGAGAAAGATAGGTTTAATTTTTTTGTTGACTTTGTTGGCTTTGATCATTGTCTCCTTTGTAAAGTGATAAAAATACTTGGACCTGCAGCACTTTTGTAACTCTTCTCTGGATCAAAAAGAAAAAATGCAAACCCAGAAGTGTTTCAAAGATGTGGGGCAGATCTGCCCCTGATTCACTACTGAATGAATAAGGGCTGCCATTTGAGTTAGCCACAGGTACTGCTGATTATAGGGCCAGTAAGTTTTAGTACCTGAAAGTATATCTTGCTGAGGGCTTGGGGTGGGTTTGGGGTTTTTTCCGGGGGGGTGGGATTGGGTTGGTTTGGTGTTTGATTTTTTTTTTTTTGTTGTTGTTGTTTTTTGTTTAGTTTTGGTTTTTTTAAACTGATCGGTGCCAATGTGTTCTCACTGAAACAGAGATGTGCAAAAGAAAGAATGCTGAAACAGTTCTCTAGTACTTCCTTAGGCCTGTTCTAATGGGTTTTGCTGTTGGAATTCCTTCCAGTCTGGGAACAAGATGGTAAATACCAGGCTTACTAGCAGAGCTAACACTGGACAGTCTAAGCCGTCTGTGCCTCTGCTCTGAGGCTGATCCTAGGGCAGGCAGTTCCTCCTTGGCATAAGATGGTTCAAGCTGTCCCTGGTATCACAGGAACAATGAATAGGACTGCTAGTGGAAAGTGTGTAAGGCAGTCTCTTCTGCACGCTTTTCCCAAGTTCTAAAATATTTAACAAACCCAAACTGAACAGCATGCCAAACCTGTAAATCCCATTAACACACCAGAACTGCTATAGCATTATTTGCATCACTGCATGCATCATGAAGTGCTGAGACTATTTCTTTGGTCAGCATAAAGATCATATTCCCTTCTCCTTTAAAACAAACGTTTTCTCCTTAGCTACTGGCAAGAAATCAGATCTGTCCTTTGCCTACTCATGTAGGGAAAAAAATCAGTTCTTGTTCTTCCCATTAGAAGTATGCAAGGGATAAGTTAATGTAAAGATTGACAGAGGTTGAGCAGAGATGATTTTGGGCCTGATGTGGAAGTTGGAGCCATGAGCCCTTACAGAGGAGGGAGGAGTTTCTCTTGTTTTAAGAGCCGATTGCACAAAGTATCATTTTCACCAGCGGAGCATTACACTGCCAACACAAGCCAAAGTGTTCCCTTCCAGGCCGGCAGGAGCTTCCTCTACCTTGGGACCCACCAAGGCCTGTCCCGGTGCACCTGTATGAGTATACTGTCAGTATTAGCCAAGCACTTCCATTCTTGGTGGGTGGGATCTCCCCTCCTCACCTTCAGCCATACGGTTCCTTTGGTTATAAACATCTAGATTTCTTCTGATAAGCCCCCAAACTAGAATGCTGCCTCAGGCTGATGTGACATCTGTTACCTGATCCTGCCAGAAAGAGAACGGGGCTATAGCCAGACTTCATGTTTAAGGCCCTTTCTCCCCATCAATTCCCCTTCATCAGTTGATACGATGCTTGCCTGGGTCTACACACTTCAGAAGCAGCAGCAGTTATTATGACCTTAGCTGTTTACAAGCTTTCCAGCAGACTTCCATGGTTGATAGAAAATTACCACTGAACTCTTAGAGCTTAGTCAGGCTTTTCAAGAGGTTGCTGGAAGACCAGAAAAGACAAGACCTGTGGAGGCCTGGTTGTGTAATACTCTTTGCTTGTGACTGAAGACAAAATCCTTGGTTCTCTGTTTTCTCCAAGTTGCATGAATTTCAAGGTTCATGGTGAGCAACATACTGTATAAGGAGCATATAGCTGTTTGAATGGGCCATCGGGGAGCAATCTGCCCGTGCTGCCTCTGACTTCTTCACCTTTGCATAAGCATTTTGTAGCATCATCCACCACTACGTTGTTTCATCTCTAACAGATGTAGCAGCAGTGAAAAAGCTGGGAATGTGGAATATTTATGTTGCCATGTCATCCTTACATTTCTGCCTCCAGAGGTGCTGGAGTGGAATTTTCCCCACCATCCCCTAATCCTACCTTGGACATAATCCACTGGGAGTCAGGTGCAGTTCTGTCCCTGTCACCTCTCAAGCTCTGTTAGGGGAAGGATCCACACTTTGTGCCAGGCTGATGATGATGGCGGAGAAGCCTTTGTACTGGATGAAATGAACAGTTTCCACAGACCTTTAAGGGATGTTAGAGAAGACCAACCCATTTGAAGCCAGTTTTATGGGCAATATAAATGACACACTATGCCCTGTCCTGTTTGGTTTTTTGTTTCAGTTGGCCTTCTTCACTGATCATCCTCACAAATAAGGCATTACTGCTCCAGAAAAATGACGGTAGGGTCAAGGATCCATTATCTTCTGAGAGCAGTAACCTGAAATAATGGGTGAGTCCTTTTTCCTCTCCAGCACATCTGTACGGCAGACCTCAGGCCATGTCTCGCTGTATGGAAGGAGCTGGAACTCAGATGCACTATTCGGGATTCTCACCTTTTTTTCCCACTTCAGGCCATAAGATTATGCTTTTTTAAATCCCAGTTTCCAGTGGAAGGAAGCATTTTAATTTGCCCCTGATTGGTGATTGATTGATTGATTGATTGTACATTCCCTTATTCAAACTGGATAGCAGAGCAGAACAGTGTTCTCTGGTTTGTTTGCCCCAGTCTCTCCAATGGTTTTGTTTTGTTTTGTTTTTTTCTTTCCCCAAATACAAGATGAGCATGGGTTTCTTATCTTGGGAACAGAGATGTAGTGTGGCAACCATTCTTTCATATCCTCCTGAGAAGTGATTTCTCTTCTGCTGTCACAGGATATAGTTCATGGACAAGCGAAAGTCAGACGGGTACTTTCTGAAAAGGGGAATTTCCTTCTTCTGTAGAATGCTAGAAGAGCAAATGCTAAGTCAGTGTTTGATCACTCTGGTTTCTTGAACATACCTTGTATCTAGGGATGGGAGATTTCTTTAACTTCCTATAGGTGGGATCAGAAAGAAGGGTGAGGAATGTAAACCTCAGGAGATGTCTAGCTGGTTTTGGTCAGCTTTCAGACAGCACTATGCCTATTTCCAGTGTTTTCATAAAACTTATTAGAAGAGGGGTCTGCTTCAGCAGGTGACTCGATTATAATTTCAGTGCTTGATGGTATCTGGTATTGTTTTCTCCCTCTATTCCCCAAGGAAATCCTTTAATCCTCCCCTCCCACCCCCCCCACCCCCCCCCCCAAAGGTGCCAACTGACAAGCAGATGTACTGCAAAAGGGATACTGCAGCCAAAACACTGCTGTTTTATTTTGAATTAAGTCTTGTGGAGCTCTCTTCATACTAGAATATTTTTATTTTCTTTGTACAACATACAATCATGTACTCTTAACAGAGATTTACTTTAAAGAGAAGAAAAAAATCTGGAAGTATTCTTTAAAAAAATACACAAAAATCTTTATTAATAATCCTGTATTTTTACTGATCATGTTTGAATGTCTAAAAAGACTTTATTGTTCTAATTATCCAGATGTATGTTTGTAAAATAGCTCTTTTATGACTTAGCTGATAAGGTTGTATGTTTCTGGAATTAAATATTGGTCACTTAAAAAAAAAAATCTGTTTTCAGGATCTGGGAAATAGAAAATTTAAGCGTTTCAAATATCATTAAATAAGCTTAAAGGAAATGAGTTTTGTCTGCTGGATTTTTTGGGGGTTGTTTTGCTTTACTTGCCTGGAGTGTTTGGCATGACAAGCTGACTTGATTGGCAAAGGAAGCTTTCATTTGCTACAGATGACCTTTCAGAATCTGTTGTTGCTCTTGCAAATGTGGGACCCCCAATTCTCCCAGTTAACACAATTCTTATTAGTTAGTCACTCTTCCTTGAGGAGAGAGCGAGAGCCTCTTGCCAGCGGCAGGAGATGCCCTCCTGTGCCGAGCCCTCCTGCGGGCACTGCCCGTGCCCAGCTGGCTGGCAGAGCCAAGACGCTGCCTTTATTGTCTGGTCAAGGTAAAAGGGTCCTGTAGTTCCAAGCACTGTTTCCCCTCCTGTTCTGCTGTCTCCTCCTAGTTTCAGAAGAAATGTTTGGGCCACTTGAACAACTTCAATTCTAGTAGATGAGTTTATTCTAACGACCCATATCTCATCCTATCCTCGTGAATAAGCAGTGCAAGAAATGGATGTTTCTGGACTCAGCAGTCTCTGCTTAAAGAGCTGCTTCTAGCAGTGTATATCCTTTCGTATGTCTTCTCCGAAACTCTGTGCTCAAGTTGATCCTTTAAAAAACACTTGTGGGGGGCAGGAAATAATCTACTGAATATCAAGAGATTTTATTCAAGTCTTAAAAATTCTGACACTGAAGGCACTGGGTTCAGACTTCCATAGATGCTTAAGTACCTTGACCAAATTTCTGCTGGTCACAGTGAGTTAACGAATATCTAGTCTAGTTCTAAAGTCAGATATGCTTCCTGAAAGAACTGAAGTTCTTGATCAGTAAGTGATCAGTGCTTCTGCACCCATCACGTTCTGGACCTGTACTTCTTTGCTTCTCTGTGTTGGTGTCAAGAGCAATCTTCCATGAGGGCTGTAATGCAACAGGAGTATCTGGCTACGGTGGATATATATAATGAGTATCATGCTAAACCAAGGTAAAAGAAAGCTTACAAAATAAAGTAACAGCAGAAGAGTGCTTGTTTGGGAGCTGCCTTTTAAAGGATGGTGGTGTTTGGTTCCTTGCAAAATGCAATCTTTATTGTGTGGGGAAGAATGTCCCTGTGCCTTCCCTTCAGCGTTGACCAGTAGGAAGGAAGTAGCACAAAACGACAGCTGCAAGAAAACAACCAAATGGGCCACTTTCTCTAAGCTGTGAATGATACTTCAGGACGTTCCTCATGGTAAGTGATGCCTTGGTTGTGCTGTTCACCTGTGGCCATTGTTTCTGCAATTGCTGGGTGTGATTTGGAATTACCCTTGATAGTGAGTTTCCAGAACCATTATCCAATGAAATTAAATAAGTTGATTTTATTAACTTACGAGCTTATTTTTAAAATAGAATCTGTTTTGACAGCTAGGAACTGTCAGTATATAGCCTTTCCACATAATAGTACAGCTTAGTATCTTGCAAATTTTTATCATTTAAGTCTTGCTGAACTAATTTTTCTCCTGAAGCATAACTGCAAGCATTTGCTGTTCAACTAAAAGGCTGCAGCTTTATATCAAATGTTAGCCAGAGTCCACTGGGATTAAATGGTAGTTTATTTGTGTTCTGTAAAGTGAATCTTCTTCCTTATTTATGTCTTTTGGTTTTAAACTTTATACCTTCAAATAAGTTTGCTTTCTTCCAGCAAGTTCTTTCTGATGCTACCTTCTCTGGAGTGTTCACAAAGATGGTGCGTATGTGTGAAATGATGTGTGCAGCAGAACAGGACACTTGTTCTTCCTCTCTAGACTGCTCTGTTGCACCAAGTTAGAGTTTCTAGAAGATGAAACTTCACTCTTGTGCTTGGCAGCCCTTGCCTCCCCTTTACAAGATGTGGGATAGGGTGCCTCTGGGGACAGTCACGTAATACAAGCTGTGTTACACTGTTTTGCGTACCACTGCATGGGACCACTTGAGGCTTTTCATTTCCATTCTTTTGCTGGATATTCTTCCCTCCACTAGGATCAAATAGAAATTTGAATGAGAAGTGAAATTGAAACTTGCTGTTGAGGGAACTTGCAAATTTTTTAATAGGGAACATCTGTGCTAAGAGTTTTGTGCCAAGGCCTCTGTTTTGTTGTATTATCTGCAGAGGATGCTTAATATGAATCCCTATCATTCAGTGATATTCCTATCTTTAGCTTTTGAGTTCCCTGGTAAGTGATGCAGTCACATTTCTGATAGACAAGCTGATAAAAATAAATTAATAAAAAACAAGCACTAAACCAGAAAACAGTAAATCAGGGGTATTTCTGAATGTTTAGAGTCCTCTTTCCCCACCCCCCCACCCCCTCTGCAGTATGTATGCGAAGCTCCTTGAGAGATTACTTTGTTATAATTGGTAATCTGAGCTCTATTATGCTTTCCTAATGATGCTATTCATGTTTTGCCTATTTAAATGTTATTTTATATATTCCCTTTACTGCGCTGCTGTAAATAAATGATTCAAAATAAACAGCTCAGAAAAATATGAGCTTTGAGTCTTCTGCAGTCTATGCCCTTGAATCCCAGCTAGGGATGAGAGAGCGCTGTACTGCATCTTGTAGGGCTCTTTCACATACACGATCATGGAATTAATCTCTCTTTGCTGCCTGCCATAGATAGGGAAGGAAGACACAAGAGAAGATTCAGAGAGTCTTATTTCAGGTGGGTTTGTGTCATTTCTGGGTTATGTAATTTAAAGTATTGTGGTCCTGCAGCATAGATCCCAGAAACATGGGCGTGCTTGGTAATACTTGTCTGTGAGTATATCTCACGTGGTAGTGCCTGACAGTTCTAGCTGGGACTGAGGACCTCACTGTGCCACGAGCTTCACAAGACCAATTTCTGGGCCAGAGAGCTTGGAGTCTAAGTGAAGTTGCAGCATGTTTTGGGATCCCAAGATGCAAGCAGTGCTAACTTCGTAATGCATCTCCTGTGCCATTCACCCCCCAGTCTTTTGTGAAGTGTATCTCCCAGTCTTTACCTAGGTCTAGGGGTGTTTTCCTGGAGACACTTGCCACTGTTGCTCACACACCCAGTGATTCCTGGGTCTTTTTGAGCAATTAGGATGGCAGTTCTATCCACCCACCACCACCACTCTCAATGGCAAAAGATGACTATTCCATTTTGTTCCAGGAAGCATCTTTTGGCAAGGTAGCTTTGGGATTTGCTGAAGAATGTCTGTAAATTACACTTTCTTTTTATCGATTAGTGCCGGTCTCAGGCCAGCTGGGATCAGGGCAACACACTGAATAACAACAAACTCTCTTCTGTGTGTGAAGGGGGAGCACTGCCAAGAGCCAATCTCCCATCCTGTGTGCAAGTCCCCCATATATTACCTCCTGTTTACATCTTCCATTTCTGTTTTTCCCATCCAACTGACCTTCAGATCTAGTCTGTGTACTGACCGCTCACTCATCGCACGCTCCACAGCCGCTGTTCCGATCTGCAGCATCTCATGCTCACAACAGGGCTTTCCGCGCTCTTGCTCCATTTACCCACAATCATCCTTCTATTCTGAGGGTCGGTTTACAATTTTGATAACCCCCAATTCTTCGTTCCCACAAATTAGTCAGTGGGCTTTAGAGTATTGTTGTTTCCTTCTTCCAAAATAATTACGAAGGTTGGTGTAAAATGGAAGTTGTCCAGTCCCTGGCATGTATTCTTTGCCAGTTGGTCTGATTATTGTGAGAGTAAATGTATCGCCTGAGAAATAGGCAGGACACAGCTCACAAAATGAAAGCTTGGATGTGTTTGCTTTAAGTGGGAACCAACATTTATAAGGTAAGCACATGAGTGTAATCCTACAGTATGGGATTGATACCTGGTATATGTCTGTGTTAAGATGCTGGCTTAACTACTATTAAAAACTTTTTAGACACCTGTTATTTAAAAAGTGGGGTCAGGGCAGCTTCTGAAAGAGATACTTAGACAGCCAAAAGTTTTAATACAACTTTCAGCTGTACATTGGAAAGCTTGGATCAGTGCTGCTCAGACAGCGAGACATGCAACAAAGTAGGAAAATACAGTTGTTACTGTGCAAGAGACTTCAGAGCCGTGTTGCAGAGCTGGAAGCATTGCAAATTGGTTTCCAGCCCCATTAACTGGTTTGACCACTTGGAAAATAGTTCTGGGAGACGCATGTTCCTTGCTTGAGATAGCTGTGCAGATCCCTCCTGCATTTCTCCACATCACAAACCAAAATAGGGACAGGGCTTCCTCCTTCAGTCAGGGAGCATCTATTTCTCCCCTTCTTCCTCACCAGATGGGAGATTACAGCTGCAAATCATCAGTTGGGCTTTTGGCAGAATAAAATGCCCAAAATATCTCTGCTGCTTTCTTGCACCATTTTGTTTGTTTCCAGATGTCTGCAGCTTATTCAGTGTGAAGTATTTTCCCTGATCAATATTTTAACCTTCTTGTTGATATTTACTCAGTGCTGCTGAATAAACTGTATTAAGTGGGGCTCCATGGATGGGAGAGTAAATCTACATTTCTATCAGCTCTCTGGAGGTTTTGCAATAATTCATGTTATCTGAGGTTATTGTTATACTAGGAAGTTAATGAGCACATCTTCCTTCCTCCTGTCTCTTGAAGCTTCAGTTCAGATCCCACTTCTGGTGCTAAAACAACATCTCCGTTCTGAATTAGCATGGAAAGGAAAAAGCTTTGTCTTGGCCTCTTGTCAGCTTCAGTTTGAAAGAACACGTTCTCTTTAGTTTTATAAAGATGTATTTGATCTAACTCCATCTGTTTCCATTTGACCTTTGTGATGAGAAGGAGACTAAACCCTTCTCTGTGGGTCTTCGTTGCATTTTTAAATCCCGCTGGAGGTTTCTGATCCTTCTCTTTCTCCCATCTCCTTTTAGAACTCTGAAGTCTAATTAGAGAGCACTGAGCAGAAGAGATGCCCTCCCTTTTCTCCAGCAGTTCTAGTGTTTGTTTACTATTCAATACAACAACTTGATTATAGAACTGCCTGTTCTATGTTCTGCTGTGCATGCCC